TTTGCTCTCATCTTCTTTTGACTGTCTATCAGGGGGATAACAACTTGATGGAAAAAAAATTTTTATAAAAAAATTCTCGTCAAAATCTTCAAAATTCCAGGAAAAAAATTACTGCGAAGTTTTGCAACGAACCAATTTCCCACCATGCTATTTCCCCCCTTGCTCTCTATGCGATTCAAAAAAACAGCAGCACAAAATAATTTTTATTTAGAAAAATGCAGGAAGGAAACATGAGACGTAAAGAGCAGAGAGAAAGAAGCATTCATGTTGTGTTTTTGCCATTGAAATTCAATTCGATAGTTCAAGCATCATTAAATCTCATTGCTCTTTTCATCTTCACTTCTTCAGCTTACTGAATTTTCATTCTTCTGAATAATAGATTTTATTTCATGCTCATCCACATCAAGTCAGATAGTAATTATAAATTCAGATAAAATGCTGACGAAACTGTTGGTGGTAACGGCCATTATATCATTGAGTCTGTTTCTATACTCAGTGAGCATTTAAGAAGGTAATAAAAATATCTGTAAAAAATGCTCTTTGAAAATCAAAATGTGTAACATAATAAAACCCAATAAATCAGTTCTAAAAATAATCTCAAGATGTAAAGAAAATTTTTATTTTTATTGTATATGGGTCAGCATGACAGCATTCACACTCATTCTTCTTCTTTTTTTTCGATCGTATTTTTGAATGCCGCAATGATAATTGAGTGCATAGAAAATTGAATAAATTGAGCTGTGATGATGAGCAATTATCTGATAATGACCGGAGTGACATTATCTTTTTGAGCAATTGATTGATTGAAAAATAATTGATCCTATTGAGTTTTTGAATAATGTTAAGTGATGACTATTATGTTCAATTTATTATTATGTTGCATTCTTTGCGAAGATTGTTGTCGATTGTGATTATAAATTAGCTATTGATCTGGATTGTTTGGAGTGTGGATGATTTTGAATTGAGTGGATATAGATAATGATTTATTTTGTGATTACTAATGAGTTGAAGTGTCTTGATGGTGTTGTAGAGTAATAAGTAGGTACTTAGAAGTTCTGCTGTCAATACAATTGGCAAGGGTTCGAGTCTTATGATCAAGTTTGATGGGTTTTTGGAATCTCTCTACAGTTCACAGCTTCTCATTGAAGTCTCCTTCGAGCAATACAAAACTGAATGTAATAGAGCGTAGAAAAGTCACAAAATAGAGGCATCAAGCTAGTTTGGATCTGGATTCGATTCAATTCGGACTATGTTGGCCTTATTTTAGCTTGGTGTCATTATTTTGTAATTTTTCTACTCCACGTGCAATTCTTTTTGATGACAATTGTGAATTTATAATCATTACATGACTGCTATGTGCCTAGCATTACTTTTAGCATTCCTACTAGGGTATTGACAAACATCTCAAAATAAGATTGTTTAGATCAGCTTAAGTCATTGGCTTTCATTTTAATCCTCTAAGATAAATGCTTGAGGTTTAGTAACTCACATGCATGAGTTTGAATCTAAAGCTGCCTTAACTTCAATTATACGCAGCTCAAAAGTCTTGAACCTTCAGTTTTATGACGAAAAACTTAAAATTTTATGGACTTGTTAACAACAACTGCCTTTTGATGTGCATAATAATTGAAAAAGAGCATTTTTAAATGCATCTTAAGTACCTTGAACTGCAACAAATGACAAAATCTTCTTCCATCATTCACTTAATTCTCCATGCTCTTTACTACGCTTAACCTTTCTCATCCATTAAAAGATTTTACACCACACCTAACCTCCTCAACTATAAAATTATTTATTTTAACTTACAAACAATTTACATAAAGTCATTCGTCATCTGATGATTAAATACAGTAAATCAACATAAAAATAACTCAAAAAAAAATTTATAACGATGAGTGTGATTTGCAGCGAATGCATAAAAAATAATTGCAAGCATTGTAAAAAATATAGTTCGAATTCAATTTATGATCTTGTTTGCATATTTTCATTTTATTTCAATATAGAAAAATAAAAATCATATTTCTCGAAATAGCAAGCAGCAAAAAACACTCGATGGTGTTTTATTGAAATTGCATATTGTTCGAGCCACTTGAAAATTTTATTTTGCGCTGCTTTATGCGAATATTTTTTTCTCATATTCCTTGTAAATGTTAAGATAACAAAAGAAATGAATACAAAATACGTCAGAATAAATAAAGATGTAAATGATTTGATAAAGGACTTTAAGGGATTTATGATGTTGAATTGAAGGGATTATGGTCGATGAAGATCAATATTTATTATTATAGAATTTTTAATGCGACTTATTGTGCTCAGCAATAGCAGATGGAAGGCTCAAGTGAGAATATATTTGAAACTAGGCTGGGATGAAGATGTATTTAGTGAAAATTAAGCATACAACTGGCATCAAGCTAGTAGATCGTCAGATTATTGAGCTTAATTTGCATCAAGGGAACTAAGGAGTTCCTATGAAGTAGTAGGACAGTCTTGTGAAGCTTAAATAAATTTAAACCATTTTAATAAGTAACGGGAAGACTAGTTTATAATAGAGCGGGGTTTTGAGGACCCCGATGAGATACTCTAGTCATAAAAAAATTTATATGTATCGCCAAAAATGCACCAAGTCGATTTTGATCTAGTAAAGCCTCGGCTGTTAAAATCAGTCTCTATTTGGAAAATGTGGTTAAGATTTTACATTAAACCGAGTCAGCTTTAGCTTCTAAATCATACAACATCTTAGTTGACTTTGCATCGTGTTGTTAAATACTGTTAACAGATTGTCGGTAGCCAAAATAGTGAATTTTTGAAGATTTACTCGAATTACCAGAAAAACTTTTAAACCAAACGATATTTCAGCAAAAAATCTGACATTTGTGTACAAAAACTCATCACATCAACACCTCACACACCTACAAATTCCAAAATTTATCATCAATAAAATTCTCAAAATGTCGTGACAATAATGAACCATATTCCTCACGTGATGGCTGGATCTTGCGTCATTTTATTGAATCTTATCAAAAATACTTGAATATTTTTTTCTAAATCTGCATTATTATACAATGAAAGTAGCCTCAGGTATAATTTATTGCCATAATTCTCCACCCTCAATCAGTGAACGTCGTTTTAAAGTTTGAGACGTGCTAAATAAGGCAAACTTCAATTATCCAGTTTTTAGTTTGATCTTTAAAGCATTGGTGTAGTCAGGGGAATTCTGATTGGTTCTTATACGAATGGAAAAGTAGATTACTAGAGTAGGGACGACTAATGACAATTTTTTAAGAACATGTCAAGTGTTCCAATTAGGCTCCTTGGGATTAAAAAAAATATTGACTTATATAAGGGTGTGGATCTGATAAAATTGATTGAAAATAATTAAAATGGATCAAAAATGATTATTTCCGTATCATTTCTGTATAGCAGAGCTCGAAATCGACTCAAGGTTTTCATCGATTTTGTATGGTGGATTCAACTCGACTCTATAAAAAATTTCATCGACTTCGAGCTCTGCTGTATAGATGTTGGACCCCCTCCTAGAATTTTAAGGCTACTCCTCTGCTTTAGAGCCAAATCACACTACATATTGTCAAATTTCTATTCTTATTTCCTTCAAATTTTCCATAACATCTGTAAACAGCTAATTTTAAAGATATTATTATCATACTTTACGGCTCGATAAGCAAAATTAAATAAAATGATCGTAAAAAATTTATTTCTCCTGTCATCAGCATCCGTGAGGTTTTTTAAATCTCTTCATGCAGTAAAGCTTAATTTGATAATTTGAATTAGATGTTTATAATCTTGTTCAACATTCCATCTTAACACTTTTTTTTTGTTATATTTTATGATACCACATCAGTCGCGCATGTGTGAACAAAAAAGAAGAAAACTGAAAAGAATCATTCAACTCTGTTGATGTTTATGAATAGACGCTGTGTCAATGAGTAATAATGAATTAATATCAAAAGACGAAACATGTTGAATGAAGCCGTGAAATAATTTGTCTATTATTAGCTTGCTGAACACCTGACATCATACATTCTAGGGGGTCGTTCATTTATGACGTCCGTCCAAAATTAACGGTCATTTTTTTTTAAAAAAAACAATGGATTTCCTGGAATTTCTAATGTTTTTTTCTTGCCCCACCCCCCTCCCGGACGTCATAAGTAAACGGCCCCTAATATGAGTTACAATTTATTGAACAAGAATTGCACTTGAAGTAATGCATTTTTCTTGTCATACTTTGTATAAAATGTATTTTGTAGAATGAGTCAATCTAATGGAACTTGATAAATTTGCACAATATTAAGTAAATGATTTGAAGTGCAAGATAATTTTTTTTTGTAGAATATTGAAATGCATTCCAAGAAATATTTGTGTCAAGTTTTATATTTAAATAGTGTAATTATGATTTAATTGAAAATGAATTGATTTATCAATGATGAGCAATAAATAAAATTTTATTGTTTTCGAGACAATTGAAAAATCTTTAAAGGCTGAAAACAGTTGAAAAAGGTGTAATAAGAATGTTATCAAGTGGGAGGGGGTCAGATCTGACAGGGTTGTGACCAGGAAGTTCTGGACCCACCTAAAGATTTTGAGTCGTGCTCTTGCTGTGATTTAAACTATTAGGGGAGGGAGGGGGTGTCCAGACCAGACCAGATACTATGGATCCTCGATTTGAGTAGATTCGATTTGAGTAACGAGAATTAATGAATAGAAAATTTAAAATATTTTTTTGTAACGAACATTTTTCATACAAAAAGTAAATAATTCGATTTCAGTAGATTCGATTTGAATAGGATTTTTTGGAACAAAACACCTCCTCAAATCGAGGACCCCCTGTACTAAAATTATTCATATTCATGAGCTCCAGTTAAAAATACAATCAACTCTTTGACTCATTTAAATATAAAATCTTCAAACTTTCTTAACATATAATCGCAAATAATCACAAAATCTAATAATAATTCAATCTTTATCTCCTCTATCTCTTCCAGCTTGCAATGATGAACACGAATTCACATGTAGTGATGGTACCTGTATTCCAAATGTAGATAAATGTAATCAAGTCAGCGATTGTCCTAACGGAGAGGACGAAGATGATTGTGGTAAGTTTAAGTCTAATATTGCTTAATATTAACTTGGTTTAAATAGTTAAAGTATAAATAATAGAAGTAAAACTGTAAAATATGTATTTAATAATATTTTGCACAAAACTTAACATAATTCATAATTAATTTAATTATCTAAAATTTGGAAATTTGATTTCGTCTACTTTCAAAATTAAAAAACAAATCTAAAACAAATTTAGAAAATTGTGATGGATTCCAATGTGAGAATGGTATGTGTTTGGATCTTGAAAAACGTTGTGATCGTGTAGCAGATTGTCTGAATGGCGAGGACGAAGAATTCTGTGATGAAGGTAGATTTTAGCTGTAGAATTGGCTAATTTATTTTATTATTTGATTATTTATAAATTATAGTATCCCCAAAAAAAAAAAATAGTAGAATTTTTGAGTTGGACTATTTTGAACAATTACTTTTGATTGGCAGCCAAAAATGGGTTTATAAATTTTTTTTATGGAATTTATTTGTAAGTTGTGAGATAAGTTTTGATTGGGGGTTTATTATTTGGTGCTGTTTGGCATCAGAAACTGGTTGTTTGATATGTCTTAGGGCTGGTGAGGCTCTTTGACTATTAGCTAAAGGTAAACACTAGGTTTATGATCAAGAACATGAGCTAAAGTGCAGTTTAGCATTTAACTTAGTTCCTTTCGTCAATACCAAGCAAACAGATTTAAGGGACGACTGTTTTGGTTCACTTTAGGACGTACATGATCTAAATTATAGTTTGTATCCGAAGAACCTACTCAATGAGCGTCTAGGAACATCATTATTGATTAATCAGCTGATTTTATCTTGATTCTGGTTTACTTCTTAATTTTTGAGCATAATTGCTGAACAAACAATCCAATTAATCAAACCATGACCAAACAGCATCGACAAAAACCCATAAAAGACCATCCGAAAATTCTCTCACAACTGCAAAAAATTATTAAAGCTAAAAAATACCTTTTAAAGTGCTTGAAAATTACTAACAGTCAATTTAAGTTAATTTTTTTCTTTCCTCTCTTTTTCCCATCTTTGTAAATAATCTTAATGCTGCTTGGATATAAAAAATTATCGCTATTGACCATTTACATGCTTTCCTTACGAAAAAATTCTCCATAAAAAATTTAAACTTATTTCCCCATAAAGTAATTAAGAATCGAGTGAAATTTTTTTGTGAACTTGGAAAATTTACATGCGGTGATAATACATGCATTTCAATGACAGCACGTTGTGATGGACGTATTGATTGTCCTAATGATAGAGCAGACGAACAAGATTGTCGTATGTTTTAAAAAAAATTTCAAAAAAAAATACATAATTTTAATGAAGATTGAAGCGCAATTTAAATTAATTTAATTAACATAAAAACAAATAATTCATGCATGCATACCAAAATTCAGCTTGTGGAGCTCATCAATGGCAATGCGATTACGGTAACTGCATATCGCTATCGAAACGTTGTAATGGAAATATTGATTGTCTCGAAGATATATCAGATGAGCGAAATTGTCCGAGTAAGTGAATAAAAAAATCAATTTCGAGTGTGTAGAAAAAAAAAATAAAAACAAAGAAATTCCATCCATAAGACTGAAGATTAAATGTTTATAAATGCAAGAAGGTAGGAAAATGCATGTCAGATAAATGTCAGTTGTTGCTAATGCGATCAACACGTTCTTGATTGCTCGCATGCTTGATGCTCTCTTTCTCTTTTTTGCATGCATGATTTTTGATTATTTTAATTCGAGAATTGTTTTTAAAATATTTGTGTTAATTTGAAGACATATTGCTGCAGAAGAACTAGAGGGGGGAATATGATGCTTGAAATTTTAATTAATAATTTTAAATATTCATTTATTTCAATGTTTTGAGGATAGAATTAAGTAATGATTTGGCATATACTTTATTACGCACTAGGTCTAGGGTACAACAAGGCTATGCCTTAGTCTTCACTTTAATTTATACTTAGGCTTACACTTCAAGTGGTTCTCAAGGACTAAGGTTAAACAAGCTTTATAAAAATATTAAATATTGATGATTATAAAAGCCTTTAGAACAACATTAAAATTTTGAGTACATAGTTGAATTATCCCCCATTTAAAATTTCATACAAGCTTTAAATTTCATCAAAATCCCATAAATAACCCAAGCTATGCATTTTATATAAATTTTTCTTATCATAAATATTCATAATTGATTTTTCAATTGACCTCCGTCCCCTCAAAAGTGTCTCAATGATTTTTAATCATTACATTGAAATATTTAGAATAATTTGTTAATTAAAATTTACTGCTATACATTTCAAAATATGAATAGGTCACGAACTTTCGATTTCAATTTTACATTATAAAATTACTTCACTTAAATCTCAGTCTTGCACACTACACTAGTTTGATTCTGATTTATTATTTATTTATTTTATTTTGTGGCTCATTTGAAGTTAAAATTTATTTATTTTTGAGATGTTGTGATATGTTAGATCCCTGGGTATTATTGGGAGTAAGTTGATCTTACTTTGTAGGACACAGTCGTCAATATTTGATGTAATGATGTTTAATGTAATTTAAGTAAGAAGATTTTTGAGCTAGGGTTGCCTGGTCAATATTTTTCTTAATTTATAAAAACTTAATAATATCATTTATTTTTATTTTTAAATTATTGCAATAAATTTTTTCAAATTAAAATGTCAACTTTTCAAGGCTTCGACTGGCTTATTTAATTTTACATGAAGGGACAGTTGCCATAAACTTAAAATATAAATTAAGCATAGCTAAAATGTGTGACAAATTTAAATTTCTAGGTTTAAGATTTTCAATGTTGCATTACTCATTACTCAACTTACATTACTCAATGCCTTAAAAAATTATAAAACTGAGCAATAAGAAAAGAACAGAATCAAAAGAAGAATAGAACTAATTACATCCAAAATCCAATGCCCAATGAAAATCGCTGTTACATTGCTGCAAAACATTCACGAAAATCGATCATTGATGTTGCGCAACATCACGAAAACATTAAAACATTTAAGCGACATTACGACAATGTGTTGCTTTATGTTTTATTACAAAATCTTTTGTTTAAAAAATCACTGAAAGAAATTTTCCAATCACAAATAGTAAAATTGTAGAATTTACTTTTTTTAAACTCAACCTTAATTTGCTTAAAAACATCCTAATTGATTTTTACAAATTTTCTTCAAAAATACTCATTACTTAAGAAACTGAAGCGATTAATACACACTGCAAGTTTGGTGAAAGGCATTGTAATTCTGGTCAGTGTATACCGGAACAATATTGGTGCAATGGTCGACTTGATTGTGACGATTTATCGGATGAGAAAAATTGTCGTAAGTTTCTATTATGTGTTAAGCATAAGCGGGAAACTCAAAAATTTGTTGATTAACGAGTTTAATTTTTGTCATCTGATGCTTTAACTACTTCTTTGTTTTGGAGTTGGGATTGGAAATTATTGGAAATTTTTATGAATTTTGTGTAATTATTGATAGAGGTTTAGAGCTAGTTCTTCAAGCAAACTTGAGAGAAAACTTTATTGCTTGTATTTAATTGGATATCTTGAACTCAAGCAATTTCTGGTAATGGCTGCAAACACAAATAGTTGAGTTTAGGAGTTGTTGCTACTCAACAGAACCTTCTTCGAATATTTTGACTCAAATGCTTGATCATTCATAAAGAATCTAAGTTAATATAGGCAAATTTGGATTTTTTAACACCAAAAGACTCCGATTGTCAGTAATTCCTTCAAAAGGAGTAAGCTTCTGTCTTATCGATGCCTAATCTGTATAATATCGAATAGTATAGGCTAATATCCAGACAAAACCGCTTAGAATTTTTGAATTTGTGATCAAAGTTATTAAAATTTCAATAATTTCCAATTTTTGGGCAGTTACTTGATAAATACTAGGTTTAACTTTTGTGGCATGTCTTAAGACTCTAAAAATTCTTCATTAACTTAAATCTGCGCCATATCCTTATGAAACTCCTTGAATATACTCTAAGTGGACCTCTAGGGGACAATTAGGTTAAACTTCTATATCTAAACTTAGAGTATACCTTTAACTAATGTTTATCAAGTAAACGACCTCCAACTTCATATTACAGCTTTTCTTCTTATATTTGTTATCGTTGCTTAAAGTTAAACTGTCCACCTTCTCTATTTCTGCCTCTTAAACAATGCTTTATCTCATTTCTTCATCATCATCATTACTCCTTCTCATCATAACCTCAAAAAAATCTCAGAATCACCTTCAATTCTGACAAAAATTTGCAAGAGGAATCGCCACATTCACTAACATGTCAATCAATAACTAACATAAACCCGCATTCAGAACTCATTGTAGCTCATTTTGGACATATTTTCAAAATTTTGTGTAGTCTTTTTTCCAAATGACTCTTTTTTTTTCAAAATTAAATTGATTGAAATTTTTTCTTTCTTTTTTCATTCCTGATATTAACTACTGGATTGTACGCGTGGGATTTTTTAAATTAACACAAAAAAAAACTCTTTTTTTTTCTTCTAATAAAATTGAATGGCATTTTTTTGTTAAAAAAAAGCATGCAAAGCTGGAGATTTTCAATGCAATAATAGCGTTTGCATAAAGGGTGAATTTCGGTGTGATGGATTCTTTCATTGTAACGATAGATCTGATGAAGCCAACTGTGGGCCGAGAAGTATGAATTAAACTTTTTAAGAATTTTTCAATTTATCATTTTTTGTATTGTTTTTGTGACTAACATAGGACGAGGTTTTTATATAGCTTAGAAAAAAAATAATGAAATTTTTAAATTGGATAAGTAGAATTAAGGGATGATGTACTAACAACTTAATATTATTATCTACTAACAAAATGGCGCCAAAGTTCACAAAAAACCAAAAGTAAAAATTGAAGTCTTTATTATGTCGTTCTATGCCTTTTTATCCTTTCCCTGAAAAAGTTTTGAAATTAAATTGAACATTTTTTAATTAAATTTCTGAGAAATTTTTCAAAACTTTTAAAAATTTTGAAATATTTTGAAATTTTTCGTTTTTTGAAATTTTTTGAAATGGTCGAAATTTTTTTAAATTTTTGAAATCTTTGAATTTTTTGAAAATTTCTGATTTTTTAAAGTTTTTCAAACATTTTTATATTTTTTAAAATAGTTTAAAAATTTCAAATTTTTGAAAAAAAAATTAAAAACTTCAAAAAAAATGTTCAATTCTCATTCAAAAAACCAAAGAAAAAAATTGTACAAAAAAGTTCATTTTTCACTCATAATTTATTTGTAAATATTATATTTTATACACACACATAAACATCATCACATGCACCCCCCTCAAAAAATATCAATCAAACAAATCAAACTTACCTGCACAATGTAGAATGCACAACTGATGAGTTCACGTGCAAGTCCGGTAAGTGCATACCAGTATTAACGGTATGCGATGATGTCAAAGATTGTCCCGATGGCGACGATGAACAAAATTGTGACTGTGCACGCAATGAAGTAAGTAAAATAAAAGTTCTCATTTATCACATCCAATACACAGCACTCATTTACATCTTTTTATTCAAAAACAAAAAAATCAAAATTTTTGCACAATTATGTCTCACTTCTCAAACCCGTAAATATGTATATAGTTTCGATGTATACGCGGAGGTACATGCATACAAATTGAACAGAAATGCGATGGACGTGAAGACTGTCTTGATGGAAGTGATGAATATTCATGTAGTAAGTAATTGTTATGTCTCTTTAGTTTGTAGATTATTTTTTGTCTTATTTCATCCTTTCTTGTAAAATAACACTTATTTGGATTATTGTATCATGAATTAAATGTTTAATTTGGATAAAATCACTTGAATTTTTTTGGAGTTGTTGCAAAGAGTAGTGTAAAAGTTGCACAGAAGGTTAGCTAGATGAGGATAGTAAAGGATAATAGTCCTGCTTAGAAAGAAAATTTTAATCAATTTAAAAGAGACTTGATGTGGCTCAATGGCAGAATGGTTTAGTATTTCGGTGCCTAATTATTGCAATGCACAGCGATCATGGGTTCGAGACCTTGAATGTGAAATTTTTCAATTTTCTAGAGATTTGTTTCAATTTTCTATAGATGAACCCTTCTTAATACTCGATAATGTTAACACAAAAGATCTTGAGGTCTATAAAAGGTGATGCTAGGGTGCCAATTACCAACGCCTGTAAAGCCATAGATAAAATTTGGCACTTCTTTCAAATAACTGAGCTTAATTTTTGTTGACACCACAAACGTATTTGCTATGAGTGTTTGTTTCTTGGGGTTGTGGGATCTTCTGTATTTTTTCAATGACGGCTGATGCCAACAAAGTGTTTAGAATTTTGAATATCTCAAAAAAACTATGACATTCTTATTTCATGAAATGTTTACCATCAGCTATGCAAAATCTTTAATTTTTTTATGCAACTGGTCCTTTAAGTCGGATTTTTTCACACTGTCTTATTTCAAAGTCTGCATGCTAGAGCCCGTTCCATCATTTCATAAAAACAAATTTAAAAAGCTATTTTATAACACTATCAAAAAAATTATTTTTCAATCCAAAATCAAGTGCTTTTATTCATAATTGTTTTGATCTTGAGTTCATATTTGATGTAAAAGCTGTAAACTTATTTTTATTTGAATATATTTTATCAAGGTTTCTCGGATATTAAAATTATTTTATGACATTGGCTCAGTGTTATCTAAAGTTTTTTGTGCAACGGCACAACTTATTAATTTTCCATAGTCAAAACCGTACATAGCGTTCGACATTTTATTGATTCACGACATTTTATTAATTCGGCTGCTGTAGAGCAATGTGCCGCGTCACATAGTTTGGTCGACATTGTAAAAGCTAATATATTTTCTTTTTCGAAATGTTATAAGTTTAAGAAGTTTTAAAAAATTCAAAACGCATCAATTTAATCTCAGATGAATCCATTCGTTAAGAATTATTAGTTCCCCAAACCTGATATTTACATAATTTATGAACTCACGAGATATCCGTTGTAATTATAAATGTCTCACACATCATTTTACACATCACTTTTATGATTTAATATTTTGTTTTTCTTCTTTTTTATAATTTTTCTTCTTCTCTTCTTTTTTCTTTCATTGGAAAATTGAAAAAAAAAAATCTTAATGAAAATCATCATCATAATAAAATTCATCATCATAATCATCATCATCATCATCAACTTTATAAATTTACATTTTTTTTATATGTTTCATGTTGTAAATAAATAATTCACGTACACAATCATGTAAAAAATCTCATAAATCGCAAATTAGCGGTACCCACTATTGCACAAGATCTCGAAACACTGGATCAGGTTAAGCACAATATTAATAAGAGCACACACGATCATATCACCTCATCATCACATCCGCAACCCACATTTGTTGCACGAAAGTGTAAAGAAACTGAATTTCAATGTATATCTGATGGTGCATGCATAGATGGTTACAAACTTTGTAATGGATATGTTGACTGCACGGATCGGTCTGATGAATCAGATGAATTTTGTAGTGATATTAATCAATACACCGAATACGATGGTAATTTTATAGGTAATAATAATTAATCCAACCACAACATTTTAATGGTAATTGTTAGTTCATCAGTATTAAGTAGCTATTTGGTGGTATTTATATAAATATTTGTAACAATTAGGCTTTAATGGTTTTGGCTCAATCAAAGTTTTTTTTCTCTTAAAAAAAATTCTTAATTCAATTTCTTAATATTTTAAAAGTAATTGGCTAGGTGTCTTTCCTTTATTTGGCATTAAAAAAAATACTTTTCAAAATTATTTCTTTACAGGTTGAGGATTTATAAAAACTGGAAATTTTGATGATTTACTTGGGAGAGGACATAGTTGAAGGGCATTTGACTGGTCTTAGTATCCTACTCGGATATCTTAGGAAGACCTTAGGTTTATTTAAAAGTGATTAGTTTTATGACAGTGAAGGGAAGGGGTGGGGGCAGGGAGGGGGTGTGCATAAACCAATTTTTACTGACGCCAGTAATCTCGTGAGCTGAGCAGACCCTTATTATATCAACAACACCCTAGATAATAATTGAGGGAACGTATTTGTTGGGAATCGAACCAACGTTCTCACAAAAGAGGGTTAAAGATATCCAATCTGTTGCCTAAACCTCAGAAGCCTAACTCCAGTACTGGCAAATTCGCCTATTTGTGGCTTAATACCACAGATTCCACTCTGCTCCGATATCACAGCGTCATTTATGAATTACTCCTTCCATTTTATGTTCATTTGGAGTCTAATGCAGTGGTGAACAACCTTTCTTGTGCCACGGCACACCATCGTGGTAAGTCATGACCAGAACCGTCTGCGACACACGGTTTGTGGGTTTTCTCGAACTTTTCAGTGGCACCCTAGTGTGACGCAGTACATGGGTTTACCATCACTGGTCTAAGGATATAAAAAAAATCCAAAAAGGGGCAAATCTAGGGGATGAGAGGGGTGTTAGTTCTGAGTGTTTAAACACCCCCCTTTGGAGGGGAAAAAAATTCAATTAAAAATTCCCCCTATGACTATAATAATTTTAACAAACCAATTGCACAAAACGAACCAAAATTTCCAGTTAAAATCATCCTCGTAAATTTAAAATTAATGCACAGCTTTACAAATATTTATATTTTCTGATTGTTATTGCACCATTATTTTCATATAGAGCCTCATGAATGTGCTGATAATGAAATTTCATGCGATGATGAAAATAAGTGTATACCAAATTCATTTAAATGCGATGGTGTGCCAGATTGTAATGATGGAACAGATGAGCTCGATTGTCCAACAGTCAGACCAGGTATAAGCTATGATCATATTTATGTCCTTTTTTTTGGCTATTTTAGACTGCAAATTAGTACTCATTGTAGTTAATACTAATCACATTTTATATAATTATTTAAGACATACATAAAAATATATTTAAATCACCAAAAAAAATTAGTAACTTAATCTACATATTCATATAAATTCATGTTCATGTAGACGCGTGTGAAGTCAATGAGTTCCAATGTTCCGATCTCAATTGTATTGATGAACACGATCGTTGTAATGGTATTCAAGATTGTGACGACAATTCTGATGAACACAATTGTGATCGATGTGGAGAGAAGGCATTCTAGTAAGTACCACATATGTTATGCACTTTAGTAAATTATTTGGCATTGAAAATTCTTGCACAATCACTAAAATTTGATAAAATTTCACCAACAAAAGCTGTCGAGTAAGTCGTGAATGCATACCTGACAATAAGCAATGCGATGGAGAAAAGGACTGTGAAGATGACACTGACGAAGAGGGTTGCCAAGGTCAGTTAAGCTTACATTTATTAAATTTACACATTTTGCTGTTTCACAAAAGCTTTGAGCAATTAAACGTGATTTTTTGAAGCTTTTTTTTGCATTTAATATTGTGATGCTTATATGCATAAAATATCATTTGTATCTAATTCCGTAAAGATCCAACTGATAGACCAGCTGAAGTTTGCTCAACTAACGAATTTAGTTGTGGCGATGGATCATGTATAAATAATGAATTTTTGTGTGATGGTCAAGTCGATTGCTATAATGGTCTCGATGAAGATCCTGAAACTTGTGATCAACCAGATCAAACTGATGCACCAATCAGTCCAACAGAAGCTCGTAAGTATAACAACTGCTTTTTTTTGGTGGGACTGAAAGCACATTAGATTTAAGATAGTATTAGTTGCATGATTATGATAGATGATTGTTAAGAAAGATCTTGATCAATATAAAGAAGAGTTCAGGTAGTTTTCAATACTCAATCATTCATTTTTGACATATTTTATTTTTTTGTTGATTTTTTTTATGTTTATAACTTCAATTTTACTTTTATTTCTAATCTTTGAATCCTGATGATTCTTCCTTATTCCTGATAAATTTTGTATTTTTTGAATTAATCATAAAACCTCGATTTGTTAAAAATTTACTGTGATATTTAACATTAGTATTAAGACGAGTGCACTGGAAAAATGTCAAGTGGAAAACAACTTGATGGGAAGTCAATTTTCAACCATTTTGCGTCAATTTTTGTTTTTAAATAGTGGGAAATTGATGAAAAATTGATAAAAATTTCATATAAAACTTTTGTTTCCATGATGTTGATTTATCCTTTCATGCTACTCAATATTGGGGTACTTATTAAGGGGCTGTTCACTTATGACGTTCAACATTTAGGGGAGGGGGAGGAGAGGAAGGTCTAAAAATTTGTGACGCATTGTGACAGGAGCGGGAGGGGGTCAGGAAATTTGTGACTCTCAATGTTTTTTGTGAGAAGATTTGATATTTTTGTGTCTATTGATGGATGTCACGAAGGGGGGGGGGGGGGTTGGGCTTTTGACATCTGTGACAGTTTTGTAACAGAAGGAGTGAGGGGATTTAATAATTATGTTTTTTGATGGGCGTCATAAGTGATCGGCCCCTATGGTATCTCTTTAGTTAACCCAAAAAGTGCCCTCGCTCAAGATACATTTCAATCTTGCGTTAATTAACTATTTTCTGTTCAAATGTGTATGTATCCCGAACGGCACAAGTTACAAGTTGGTTAATCGATCAGAAAAGCGAAACCAAGCATGGTGCTGGATTTAAATCATGCCAGAATCATGCCAACTTGGCTCTCGATTTTTATTCGATTAACCGACTTATGCTAGTCGAATAATTTATTTTAAAATTTTATATGTTAATTTTGAATTTATTTATATATTTTATATCTAAAAAGTTGATTTCATAAGAATTATTTTAACAATATTTTTGCTAATTCATAACATTTTATCTATTTTAATTGCAACAATTTAGCTGAAATTTGTCAAGATGATGAATTCCAATGCGATGGACGTTGTATTGAAGCAGAGAGGCGTTGCGATGGCAGACCTGATTGTTCTGATCGTACCGATGAACAAGATTGTCCACCAGTTAGTATATTTGAGCAGTTTTATCAGTTTTTAATCAATGCTTTAGATTTCATAATGAATCTTTAGATTCTTTTATCTTTTTTCAATTGTCATATTGTCTCTGGCTATCTTATAAAACATAATCTAATTGAGTGCATTAGGTTTAACCCTAATCCACATAAATCAAGCATTGAGCTTAATTTAACTTACATTATCAAGCAAATATTAACCTATTTGTTGATTAGGGAACTATGCTTACCCGAGATTCTAAGATGATCTTTTAGATTGAGTTAATTTTTAATTTAACAGCAACTTTTATTTTTAAAACAGCAACAATGTCCAGAAGACAGATGCAATGACGGCACATGTATTTACTCAAACCAAAGATGTGATGGCACACCAGACTGTCGCGATGGTGAAGATGAAGACAGATGTCGTAAGTATTTTCAAACGGATACATTTAAGCAACTATACAAAGAAATTTGGGGAATATATTGACTTAGAATGTCAATTACTATCCTTTAAAGCTTTGGATTGATCAAATTAGTTCAAATCAATCCTTTAAGGAGTGGTCCAAGACAATCTATGTCAAACTATTCTTAAACTTTAGTAAATCATCCACAAGTTACTAAAGTTTATCCAATCAACGACATACAATCTTATTTACAATCAATATTCCTCATTTTGTTCGGCACCAAACTTTGACTTTTTCACAAGACACAAAATTGATTTTTGAATTTTTCTAATCACAATTTTTTACGTTATTTTGCAACACAATTTTCACTTTTTTTGCACAGAAATTTTCAAATTTTTTTCACCATATCACTCAATACTATTTTGTCTAAGTCGCTGAGAGATGAAAATGGTATTTTAATTGCCTCAAAAAATTTTAATTGCCTTTAAAAATTCCATTTAAATCTACTCAGGACTGTTTGTAAATTAAAATGAATTGTCTTTTTACTTAATTTACTGTACGAACTCTTTTGTTATTCATTCATCATATTATGATGGGAGATTCTCTTCAGATGCTTGCAATGAAACTGAATTCAGATGTTCTGATGGATATTGTATCGACATGAATTTGCGCTGTGACAGTTATTATGACTGTAAAGATTTTTCTGATGAGCAAAATTGCTTCGGTTAATAACCTTATATCTTACTTAAATAATGAGTTTATTCAAGTTTAGTTTTTCTGTTTTTATTCTGTGTTTTCTTACGAAGTTGGTTGTTTTAATGTCTTAAAGAGTATGTAATTAGAATTGTTTTATTTTATTTCACTGGTTGATTTCTATAGGGACCTAAGGTAACCTACCCTAAGATCGAAATTCTATATATAAATTCAAATTGCACAAGTCGGCTTGTCAAGTTGGTGTTACTTTGGCATGGTACTGGACCCAAATCGAATCCAGCACCATGCCACAGTAAGGAAAGTTTGGTGCCGGATTTTTATTCGAATAACCGACTTGTGCTATTCGGGTAAGCTCTGGTAGTATGAATATAATTTAACTGTGAGATAAGGTTGGGAACCTCGAAAAGCCTTAAAAATCGACTCAGTATCTTGAATAAGAATGCAGACCCTAGTAGCACAATTGGAACATTGAAGTCTAGTTAATAACAAGGGACCTTATGTTGCTTTGTTTGTACATGTTGATTTCGGGGATGGTTGGTTGTAAACCTCAACATCCCTAGCCTGAATGTGGGGCTGTCACCTTACAAGCGAGCTTGTTTGGATAGGCTTTTAATCTATTCTTTAAAGTCTTTATTCGAGCACAGGGCTCGGTCGCCAGAGGTGCATATAATAACTAGGGATGACTAGAGACAATTTTTCCTGAATGTCCAAAAACAAATGTCATTAGTTGTCCCTATGTCTAGTAATTTACTTGACATTAGTGTTGATTGCACAACCGGGAAAGTTTATAATGATCATTTTGTTGATCATTTTATTCATAATGATTAGTTGCCTGCCTTAAACTTAAATTAAAATCAAATTACAATAAAGAACCAAACTTACATGCTCTTTAGTACATTTGTTGAATACTTAGCAGCTCCTACAGTCATTCGAGTTTATGTTAAACGTTTAAAGTTTTTTATTTCAATTTTAAGTTAAGATTCTGGAACTCTTTAATTCCAAACGAAGTCTTAAACCTAGTTTAAAGCTTCTTTTTAAATTTATTCATAATTTTTTAAAAGTTGGCTTATTTTAAATCTTGATGTCTATTTATCTACGTTACTTCTTAATTTACCTATCATAATTCTTACTGTTGCACTGTTAAGCAATCCTCCTGTTTGTTGATTTGCATGAAAGTTACTTTAAAAACTAAATTCTGACTACTCATTCTAAATTTGTTCTTCTTGTCATTTCTATTTCCCCTTCTAAACTCCATTAGCATGCCGTGACAATGAATTCCGTTGTAATGATGGACAATGCGTTTCACTAAGTGCAAGATGTAATCGTCAATATGACTGCCGTGATGGATCAGATGAATCAGATTGCCCACGTTGTCGTCCAGGTGAATTCCAATGTACAACTGGCGAATGTATCAGCGAAAGTAGAAAATGTGATCGCCGAACAGATTGTAGAGATGGAAGTGATGAAAATGATTGTCGTAAGTAATTTTACTAAGCTTATTTACTTGTAAAGTGAATGTTTTTGGCTATGTTCGTGAAAAAATTCAAAATTGCACAAAAGAAAAAAATTCATAATTGGCTGCATTTTTTTGTTGTCTTGAAAATTCTATCTTTATTTTTATCATTTCATTATCATTTATCATTATTGAAAAATTATTTAAATCAGCACGTCCAACACCTCCACCAACTACATCAACGACTAGAACAACTCCATATTATTATTATACACCATCAACTTCAAGACCTTATATTTATAATCCTCCAACGACTTCAAGACAATACATTTATAATCCACCAACACCTCGACAGTACTGCGATCGCTATCGTGAATGGCAATGCAGTAGTGGTGAATGTATTCCGCTAGAAAGTCGTTGTAATTCACGTCCTGATTGTGTAGATCGTTCTGATGAACGAAGTTGTCGTAAGTTTCATTTCTCTCTTATTTTATCATTATTATTTTAACTTATTTTCATTTCTTATCATATGTAGAACTTTCATTTCATGTAAATTTATGTTTAATCATATGTAGTATGCTTTTATATGTCTACAAATATTGTTTTTAGTATGATATGATTTGATGGGTGTGTTAATGGATACCAAAGATTAGAACTTGGCATGAAGTGATTCTTAATTAAGTTGTCTCCAGAGTTGTGCCTTTGGAAATGTCTCTCAAAAGAGCATGGTAGCTTTTGCCTTTGTCCAGACAACATTTATGTATAGGCATGCCTAGCCAAAGGCATAAAAGTGTGCCTAGTCAAAGACAACTTGGATCTTTTGGTCATTCTTGAAAGGTATCGCATTCCGGAATGGCTTATGTCGGTTAATCGAATAGATGACATGATGCTAGCATGTTGCTGGATTCGATTTAAATCCAGCATCATGCCATTCGAGTTTGTAAAGCTAAGAATCAGCTCCCATAGCCAGCAAATCGATTAGCACACCTTTCCATTTTATATAGTATTTATAAGTTCTCTTTTATTTGTTATTTCAAAATTCCACAAAATTTTTCATACAAAAAAATTATTTTTCTATCTCATCATCCTCAAACATCATATTCATTTGACACATATGGGATTTATGAATATATTAAAAAATATAAATATACACAAACATAAAATAAATTAGATGAAGATGGCAGCGATTGCTCAAAAGATATGTTCCGATGTGAGAACGGTCCATGTATAATGAATTCATTAAGATGCGATGGGAGAATTGATTGTCCCTTTGACGATTCTGATGAATTAGATTGTCGTAAGTTTTTTTCTTTTGAACTTGATGACGTTGCGAAAGACTTTAATGAGAGTTGATTTTAAGCTCGCTGCTACTGCATTTAATACACAAACAGACTTAAACTTTAAACTGCTATCGCTGCTACAATTTTTTTGAAGGAAAAATAAATTTTTGTTTTGGTTTGAATAAATGTTATGGCTTTAATAATTTGTATTATATTGCAATAATATAGAATCATTAATCAACTTAGTAGATTATTTTGATGTGGATTAATTATTTTAACAGTTTGTTCATGTAAAACTATATTACTGACTTACAAAGACGTCTTGTCTTATTGATAAGATGTCAAATGCTGTTCTAACCAATATTTTAAGTTGTTTTATTTAATAAATTAGAAAAAATAGATTTTTACTTAACAATAATTATTGAAAAATGCTTAACTTAAATTTGCACATAGTTTTTCATCTATAGCACTAAAGTATTGATTAAATTAATTAAAATCTTCAAAGATTATTTTATCTATTGATTTCTAATGCTTAATAATGTCATTTATTTTGATTTTATCAAATATATTAATTCCGTCTTATTAAGGAGTCTTCGTACAGTTCGTAACGCTAACCTCAATTCAAAACCTACAATTATTAATTTTTACGAACTATCCGAACGATTCCTTAGTATTCCTTAACAATAATTGATGATAATCGATGTAATATATCAGAGGATTTTGATAAAAAATATAATTTGACTACCATAACAATGCTTCTAAAATTCACATCTAAAACTTTACATTTTGGTGGTTTGGTGAATTTTTTTTCTAGGTTTAAAAAAACTTTTAAGATTATTTCTAATTCATAAATCATCTTGTTTCATTTATCATCATTAAACAGCACCAAGAGAGCCAACAAGACCTGATGAAGTCAAACTTAACTTGAGAACATACCCAACAGCACAAACTATTAAAGAAAGTAAGTATCGAAAATTTGACAAAAATTGTTTATGAATTTCTGACTCTTCAAGACTTTAGAGACAATCGCAACTTTCGAGGGTTAGAGAAAAATTATTCTTTCAGTATGAATTTTTTTAAAATTCATGATTTTATTGAATTTTGATTTTTTTAATTTTTTTGTTGAAATTATTAACTTTTTTTAAAACTTTTTAAAAATACAATACTTTTAAAAATGTTTATTCAAATTTTTCTTAAATCTTTTGAAATTTTTGATTTTGTCAAACTTTTTTGAACATTTAAAAAATGTTATCAAATTACATTTCGATGTTATCTTCCCTTGACAAGCTTTAATGCCTTTATGGTCTCTACTTCAATTCTTCTGAAAACTATTTTAAAAAGCACAAATTTAAAAAATCAGTTTTTTAACAAAAATTGAAATTTCAAATAAACCAAAACTTTTGAATTTTGGTAAATTTGAATTTTTATGTTAAAAGTTTTAATTTTCTAAATTTTGTGCAATTCATTTTTATTCTACATCAAAATTTATAAATTTTCAAAACATTGACTCAAGATGATTCAATTCCAACTCCTATAAACTGCTTCATTTAAACTCCTCAATTCTAATAAATATGTTTGGTTTTTGAGTTCTTTCTTTCTCTTCTTTCCTAACTTGTGTTATCTTTTTCATTTTAACAATCTAGTTTTAAATTAATTAAAATTGATTTTTAATTTTGTCAATAACAGCAGAAGGATGAAAAAAATAGTTATAGGCTCTTTTTATTAACAAAAGAAACTGCCTCATAAAATAATAAAAAATAAACTGCTTTAAATGTGTATTTTACCTAAAATATTAATTATTGCTTTCATAATTCTCTGTCTTTCTCTTTTCCTACAAAAAAATCATTAATCGCAAAAAAATTAAATAAAAAAAATTAATAACAAAAAATGCTTCGCTTATGTAGGAATAATAAGAGAGGGTAAGTTTGAGTGAAAATGCTTTTAATTTAAAGAAATACTAAAAATGACTAAAACCGCTTGCGATTGCATGACAAAAGTTTATAACCCTTTAACATTAATTTCCTATTCCCCAACCCGCTAGTTACTACCACGATAATCGATAAAACAATTTTATTTACTATTATTAACTATAAATAATATAAAATCAAAATCAGATCAACAAGTTGCATGGATATCCCCAATTAAATATGAAAAAATAAAAAAAAAATTCTATTCAAGGGCAAATTGATGGCACATCAGCTAGTCTACAACTTTACAAAGTATAAGTTCTAATACAATTTTCATGTTTTTATAGGCCGAGAAGTCGTTTTTCAATGTCGTGATGAGGGTCCTATTCGTGCACGAGTTCAATGGATTCGCAAAAATAACCGACCATTGCCACCAGGCTCACGCGATCTCAATGGACGTCTCGAAATTCCAAGCATTAAGGTTGAACACAGTGGTGAATATATTTGTGAAGCTGTTGGATATCCAAAGAATACACCTGGCAGTGTTGTTAGTGTTATGTTGGATGTTGAGAAATGTAAGTTGATTTTTTATTTTGCTGAAATTAGGGGGGATGGAAGGATGGGGGGGGGGGGGGGTTGAATGATGAAAAAGTGAACAAAAATCTTTCAACACTTAGTCGATGTCTAATCAACTGTACATGCATAAGGTTGTCACATAAAGTTATTAAAAATTTGTAAAACACTTCGGGATCGTTCATAAATGATGTCAAATTTTTAATAGGGGCTAGAGGTCAAGAAGATGTATGACGCTTTCATACAAAAACTATTCATTTATCTCAGAAAAATTATGCTAATCTTAAAAATCTCAAGTTTTAATTGACATCAGGAGTATTGCCAGGGCAGTGGGATTCGAGGGACAAATCCCCCTTCGTCATCAAAAATGTCTTCATTTTGCTACGGTTTTTTTTTTGAAAAAACTCGCAAAAATTCACAGAAATTTTTTCTGTCATCCCCTCTTCAAATTCCTGGATATATATAATGATATGTACATATATGATTAATATTATTTGCAAACGATCCCCATAATTAAAACCCAATTATTTTATCAATTTGCATCACGTGGAATGCAGCATGGTATCCAAAAAAGTATACGATAAGAAATCGAAAAATTAGATTTGGGCTCGTACCCCATATTGATAAAGAATTTTTTGGAACAGGTATAAATTAATCGATTTATTGATTTGTGACATTTTACTGATTCTATTGATTTTGAAAAAAATTTATTCTGCATTCGAATGGAAATTAAATTAATGGTAAATTTGAAAAACTTATAAAAGCTTCACCGTCACTTGCAAATCTACATTCCATCAATTAGATTATAACTTCATCTTAATCCTCATTTCCAGTCAATCGTTCAATCATTACACCACCAGCCTGTGGTGCCAATCAAGCTACATGCATGAATGGTGACTGTATTGCAAGAAACAAGATCTGTGATGGAGTCTTCGATTGTACAGACGGATCAGATGAAAATGGATGCAGATCAGGACGTTGTGAACCAAATGAGTTCCAATGTAGCAACAGAAAGTGTGTCTTGAAGACATGGAGATGCGGTAAGTCTCAATTTAACTTCTTAATCCATAAGTTTACTCAAATGTCATCCCTTAAAAGATGGTGAAAATGATTGCGGTGACAACTCTGATGAAGATAACTGCTTCACACAAAGTACATCATCTGGTCCATGCCGTTATGATGAATATCAATGTGCCGATCGTCAATGTATTCCAAAGTCATTCCAATGTGACAGTCAATCTGATTGTGGTGATAATTCTGATGAAATTGGATGCATTGCACCACAAGTTATTACTCCACCACCACCAATGGTACGCTTACAAGCTGGACAAGTCTTCAATATTACATGTAGAGCCACTGGTAATCCAGTTCCATTGATTGTATGGCGTTTGAATTGGGGACATATTCCTGAAAAATGTAGAACAACAAGTGTTGATGGATTCGGTACATTGACATGTGATGATATTCAACCAATTGACTCTGGTGCTTATTCATGTGAAATTATCAACAGCATGGGAACTCACTTTGTATCGCCCGACACAATTTTAGTTGTAAGTGGAACAAATGTCTGTCCTGTCGGTTACTTTAATGGACAAGCTGCAAGAGAGAGTGATTGTATCAATTGCTTCTGTTTCGGTGTCAGTACACAATGTAAGAGTGCTGATCTTTACACTTATGCTTTAAATCCACCAGTCACATCACAAACTGTCGTTGGTGTTGATGGACCATGGAATGGACTTCCAGATATTGCAATTTCTGAATACAATAGACATCAACTTACCTCAACACGTCATGGTGTTCAATTTAGAGCATCTGACATCCCAGCTGCCTCAAATCGTGTCTATCCATATCACTCACTTCCATCCGAATATCACGGCAATCAACTCAAATCGTATGGAGCTTTCTTACGATATGAAGTTGAATTTAGTGGACGATCACCATCAAATGACATTCCTGATGTTATTGTTCAAGGTAATGGATATACATTGACATACTCAGTTCCTGGCCGTCTTAGTCCAAATTCACGTAACAACATGACTGTTCAATTCTCACCAAGAACCTGGAATAAAGTTGATGGAAACGAAGCAACTCGTGAAGAAATTATGATGGTTCTTGCTAATGTTGAGAACATCCTTATTAAGCTCCAATACATCGATAGTGGTGAAAGAAATGTTGAATTAGTTCATGTGTCACTTGACTCTGCTGCACTTCGTGATTTTGGCTTGGGATCAGCTTCATTAGTTGAAGAATGTCGTTGTCCAACTGGATATGCTGGATTATCTTGTGAATCATGTGAAGTTGGTTACATTAGACAACCATCTGGACCATGGTTAGGTAGATGTGTACCTGATGTCGAACCTTGCAGACCTGGAACCTATGGAGATCCTAGCAGAGGAATTCAATGCAAGGTAAATGTTGTAAATTTTATGATTTTGAATAATTTTAACTTGATTCACATGTCACTTTCTAGCCATGTCCATGCCCAGTCCCAGGAAATTCACATGCACGTACATGCTCACTTGAACGAAGTGGAGATATTGTCTGTCACTGCGAACGAGGTTATATCGGTCAGAGATGCGAACAATGTGCACCTGGATATGTTGGAAATCCAATGTCTCCATCAGGCTGTCAACCAGCTCCACCACCGTCATCATATTGTGATCCAACTGGAACTGAAAGAGTTCTTTCAAATAGACGATGTGAATGTAAACCAAATGTTATTGGAGCACGATGTGATCAATGTTCAGACCAAACATTCTACCTTAATAGTAAATCTGGATGTATTAATTGCTTCTGTATGGGAGTCACTGGACGTTGTACAAGTACATCATACTTCCGTGACACAGTTCGTGCATCATTCTCAACACCATCAGTCAGTGAATTCTCACTTGTATCTGGATATGAATTCCCAGTTCCAATTTCCCAACAATTACAAGTCGAAAATCGTGAAATTGCTTTCCGTGAATTTGTTTCTAATGATGAGACTTATTACTGGAGCTTACCACCATCTTTCTTAGGCAATATCGTCACAGCTTATGGTGGTAATCTTTCATATACTGTTCGTTATGTGTCACAACCATCAGGTGCTGCATCAAGAAGCAATTCTCCAGATGTTGTCATCGTCAGTGGAAATGAAATCACATTGCATCACTACAGATCAGATACAATCCCACCATTCGGTACACAAACATTCACAGTTCCAATTTATGAAAGATCATGGCAACATTATGAAGAAGCAATTCCAGCAACACGTCAACATCTTCTCATGACATTAGCTAATGTAACTGCTATTTATATTAAGGCTACATACACAACTGTTGCTGAAGAAGCTGCATTGTCACATGTCGCACTTGATGTAGCTCGTGAACAAGATTATGGATCACATCAACGTGCATGGGAAGTTGAACAATGCTCATGTCCACCAGGACACGAAGGTCTTTCATGTGAAGACTGCTCACCTGGATATTATAAAGGTGAACAAGGATTATACCTTGGATTGTGCGAACCTTGTGACTGTAATGGACATTCAGAAGAATGTGACTCAAAGACAGGAATTTGCAGAAACTGCCGTGATAATACTTATGGAGATAATTGTGAATTGTGCTTGCCAGGATTTCATGGAAATGCTACATCAGGTGGATGTATTCCATCCGGCAGTCAGACAAACAAATGTGAAGACTGTAGCGTTGAAGGAACATCATCATGCGATCGTGTATCAAGAAGATGTAACTGCAAGCCAAATGTTATTGGATCAAGATGTGATGTTTGCCGTGATGGAACATTCGGAATATCTGAAACTAATCCTTACGGATGTCGCGAATGCTTCTGCTCAGGAACAACAAGAAGCTGTGCTGAAGGAATTTTCTATCGTGAACAAATTCCAATCTTTATCTTTGATGACACAAATCATTTTGAATTGACAGATCGTGAAGGACAAAATCCACTTCCAACAGATCAGTTTGATAGAAATATAGAAGAAAATGAAATCAGCTATCAGTTTAATGACGATTCACACTCATACTACTGGAATCTCCCTGATCGTTTTACTGGAAATTTGATCTTGTCATATGGCGGCAAATTGTATATCACACAAAAAACTGACGGTTCTGGACATTATGTTAATGATCAAGACGTTATTATTCGTGGTAATGGCATCACATTGGCACACTCACGTCCAAATATTGAGGAAGAAACTTACACTGTCAGTTTACTTGAAAGTGAATTCCAAACAACTACTCGTGGTGGACCAAGACCAGCTACACGTGCTGATATCTTGACTGTTTTATCAAATGTTGACAGCATTTTAATCCGTGCTTCAGTTCGCTCATACACAAGTGAATCAAGAATTAGTGACATTATTCTCGATACGGCTGTAAGACAACCAACAGGTTCAGGACGTACTAGTGATGTTGAAGTCTGCAGATGTCCACCAGGATATCGTGGAACAAGTTGCGAACAATGCGATGCTAAATTCTATCGCGATTCAAATGACAGATCAGCTGGATTATTAGGAACATGCAAAAGCTGTCCATGTGAAAATGCTGACTCATGTGAAATGGGACCAAATAGAAGAGTAGTTTGTCACTGCATGGATGGATGGACTGGTGAAACATGCCGTGAACGTCCTGGTGAGTAGAAATTTTGTTGAAAAATTTGCATGAAGATGTTTCACTAAAAATGAGATTTTTTCATCCATTAATTCATCCAGAAGATAATTTTTTTTTATTTGATTTTCCAATAATTCTTAATTTAAGTTTTGACTCGCACAAAACCACACAAAAATGAGTAGTCAAAGCAAATCTAATTAATAAAATATTTTGCAAGTTGCACACGAGTGAAAAAAATAAGTTAAAAGTTTTGAAATTTTTTGTTTGTTCAATTCACATTTTTAATTTTGAAAAAAAAAAAATATGAAGAAATTAAGGAATATTCAGGTCCGGATTCCGCATGGATAAAAACCATTAGTTGCGCACCATACACAATCATTTTTAATGTTCAGACTGAAGCTAATGATGTTGAGTATAAAATCATCAATATGAATGGAAAAAACGTTGGCGTTTTGAAAAAATTCCAAGGTTCATTTTGAGTTTTTCTTTTCTTTATTTTTTTTATAACCTTTATTACTTCTTATCTATATTCAAAGAAGATTTTTTTTATTATTGGGATTATTTTATTAATTAATTTTTTTCTATATATTTTTTAGAGTAAATTTTTTTTGTTTGCTTGAGATATGATAAATAAATCCTTTGATCCGTTTTCCTATATTTTCGAATCTAATGAATTTTAAAACGAAATTCTTAGACTGAAAATCCTTTTGTATTAATCTACTTAAAGAACTTTGAAAGCAGCCATGTATGTTTGTATGTACCTCATACGTACTTAATATCTAATTTGGTCTTACACATTAATTGTTATCAATGGACTTTCTTGATTTTATTTGAAAATTGGAACTGGAACTAGGTTGGTTTCTTAAGCTAAAGTTTGAATTGAAAATCTATTTTCTTTTTCTGTCATCTTAATAAGAATAGACTGTGACGAGATTAATTTAAATCTTTCTTTTGCCTTACCAACTTGATAAGCTTAAACAATGTTTCTTTCTAATTTGAATTCTGAATTCATCAAAAGTTTTATCTTGTCTTTAGTAATAATTTTAATGTGATACATAAGCAGTTCCCCATTAAAACTTTATTCTATTGCTTAAAAGAACCGTAATTGAAAAGTTATTTTTATAAAACTTGCTCCGAGTGGGAATCGAACCTACGATCTTACGATTTCTCGTCTCATGCTCTTGCCACTGAGCGACTGAAGGTTGTTTTGAGCATTGACAGAATGACAATTTAACATATTATCACTTTTTTTAAATTCGAGCATAATAGCGTGGTTGAAGAGAGCTAGGAAGAGCTAAAGGGTTGGTTAATATCCCTCCACGGTTTGATATTGCTAATATTTTGTGAAAAAAAAAAATTCAAACTCTCTCCGAAAAATTTTTTGCTTTGCAATTTAAAAACTTAGAGTTAATCTGCAGGACCACCTGCACAGGGGCGTAACCAGGAATTTGAAGGGGGGGGGGGGGGGTTAAAAATGTTTGTATGGAAAAATTTTTGGGGGAGATGAATTTTGCGAATTTTTTATAAAAACCTTAGCAAAATAAAAAATATTTTTATAAAGAAGGTAATCCACCCCCCCACCCCCCCCCCCCCTTCATCCGGAGGTAAAGCCAGATTTTTTTAAACATATTTTTTGAGAGGATAGAGGAGTTTCCAAATGTAATTTTTTTGAATTGGTTTGACCTCCGAAACCCCTTCCCCAGGCTAATCCTTCCCCAGGCTAATCAGCTAACTTTAAACTCCTTTCCCTACAAATAGGGCCAACAGTGATGTGCATATTTTATCAATAGACAGTTTCACATTTTTAATTTTGTTGAAAAATCATCAAAATCTATTTTAAAATTAGTAACCTTACCCAACCCTTATCAACCCTCATCTCGTTATCTCCCTCTTCCCCAAAATACTTCATCTTCCCTCCCCAATCTATCTCAAGCTTTTGTAGTAACTTTTATGTATCGTTTTTTTCAAAGTATAATGAAATATATATACCTAGTGTATTTATTTTTTACCCTATATATTATTCACCTTGTACTCGTAAAAATGTAATGTCTGTTTTTATCTTTCAACTTACATTATAAATATGTAATAAAATATATAAACCGATTCCCTCGTATACTTTTCAATCAGTTTCGACATCAAAACAATAAATAATATGTCTGGAAATGTTGGTTAAAAAAAACAAATTTATTATTCGTAAAGGAAATTGATTGTGATAGTGTAGTAAGTCGAATTATGTGCACAATTTTTTTAAATGTAAAATTGTATATATATGCACAAGATAAATATTTATTATAAGAAAAATGCACAAATTTATGTATAAATTTACATAATTATTTATCAGCACATTAGGGTTTTGCCAATAACACTCGTGTACTTCGTATGTACTAAAATTCTGTATGTAATTTCTTCCCTTATACTCCGTATTATTAGGGGCGCCGGTCACTTATGACGTCCATTAAAAACCATTATTTTTAGACCCCCCTCCACCTCTCTGTCACAAAACTTCTGTGGAAAAAAAATTATTTTCCTTAATTTGTGATAAAATCCTAGACTATCCCCCTCCCTTAATTCTGGACGTCATAAGTGAATAACCCCTTATATAAATTATTTATTTTGTGTGTAGCTATATCCTTATAAATTATCAAACTACCTCCGTAGATATCATTTAATCAAAAGTCATTTAATTTAAGCTTCTTTTACTAACATTTTGGGTACAGCTTCTTCAAATCTATATCTCCTTGAACCTTTATATTCCAATAAATAATTTTATAAATTCTCAAAAATCTAGGAGTTCCAACAACTACAACAACATTGAGACCAACCCTTGCACCACCATCAATTGAGGTTGTCATCACATCACCAAGAATAAAGATTGTTGAAATCGGTGAAATTGTTGAATTCAACTGTAATGCTCATTATCTTGTTAATAACGTAAGTATTGGAGCTTCCTTAATTTTCTTAATTTTTAGAATCCATAATTCATTTGACCCACAGAAACCACTCAACATCCGCTGGTACAAATATGATGGATCTCTATCAACTCGCACAAGAATCGATCAAGGATCACTTTACATTCAAGATGCACAAGAAGATGATAGTGGTGTGTACATCTGTCAAGCTCAAGTTGGCCATGAAATTGTTCGTGACAATGTTACACTTACTGTTGGTGGTGAGTTCATTTTTCTGTTCATTAAATGATTCATTGATAAGGATCAGTAGCTTGGTTGAATGATATGAATTGTGGGAGATTTAGAAAAGGATTGAGAAGTAGGAGATGCATGGATAATGTCATCTTTTCCTATTCTGAGTTGTACAGTAGATGTTTTCAAGCTATTGTCGTCAGAATTTCAAGGGTAAGCCTTATAATACCTTTTTGGATGTTTATTGATAAGAAACGAGATTTGCAGCAAAAGTTCCAATGATAAAAAGTGAATAGATCATCGCAATAAGAATTGTGAATATAAAGTGAACATGGGTGAAGCCAATGACTTGTTTCATCAAAAAAAAAAATGGCCCATGTGGTAGTAGGTCCAAACTATATTTGTTTTGGTCACATCTCTCTTTGCTGAGGACTAGTTCAGTGCATAATTCCTAAGCTTACTTACTTACTATAACCATGTTCTTACGAGGAGCTTAGGTTACAACCAAGGATTATTACTGAAAAACCCAAAACTCTTTACAAAAAAACCCTGAGCCAATAAACATGAAAATGAGAAATCCCTTTAAAATCCCGAAATTATTCATCAAATGCGTCAAGGATCAAGGATTTAAAAGGGATTTCACATTTTCATGTTTATTGGATTAGGGATTTTTTAGGATATTTGGGATTTTTCAGGATTAAACCTGAGTTTTCACGCCTTGGTTACAACAAAAGGACTTTCATCTGACTCTGTCACCTAGCTCATACAATTTGTCTGTCCACACATTGACTGCTGAAATTCATTCATCACTGTTTTGCTCCAAGCTTTTGGAGCTCCTAGACGTCTTTTTCTTTGCGGATTCCAACCAAAGGCACTTGTGATTCTGTCCCACCGATGACATTCTCATTGGCACAAAATGGCTTAGACAACAAATGCGTTACGACGCACTCAATCCTGTTGTAAATTCTTCTATTTTATATCATCAACTAAGGTTATTGATCAATAGAACATTACATTTTTTTGTGAAATTGTCCTTTGAAGTCTATTGTCTTGTATGAAAATTGAGATTTTTTTCTGTGCTTATTACTAACGGGTCGCTGCTTTATGACGTCCAAAATATTGAGTTCTTAAGCTCTCTGACACTATTTAGCTACTTATATATTGTAAGTTTAGTATGTCGTTTTACAAATTACTACAAACCTGTGAACTATGAAGCATATCCTACACAGCAATGCTCTCCAGAATATATTGTTAATTTAAGTGTCTGCTACATAAAGAATAACGAGCTTTTGAACCAAAATTTTCGACAATTAAGATCAGTGAATGACCCTAAAGACTAGCTATGTTATCCCAAAAAAAAAATAAAATAAAAACAAACTTGTCTCAAAAAAAATGTTCTTTAATACCAGAATATGACAAACTTCATTGACATTACTAAACAATTTCATTTTGTAAAATCGTTTGTTCCTTAAAGAAAGTGTAATGTTCTATTTTTATTCCTGCTTATTAAACAAAAAAAAAGTTCAAACTAGATCGAAAACTAACAATTTATTAACACTTTTTAAATTACAAGCCTTCTCAAAGGAGTTCATTGATAAAATGACAATGAGTAATTTGAAATATTTAATTTAATTAAAATTTACAATTTATAGATTTAGATAATCCTTCAACAGAAGTTTATCCAAGACCTCCAGAAGTTATCGTTGAGCCACGTGTTATTAATCTTGAAGAATTTACACCAGCTGAAATCCGTTGTTCAGCTGCAGGATATCCACAACCAAGAGTAGAATGGAGAAGACTTGACGGATATCTTTCAACTGACATTGTTCAACGTGAAGGCTATTTGAGATTCAACTCATTACGTAAATCAGATGAGGGCACATACCAATGTGTTGGTCAAAATAATGTTGGCGAAGCAGAAATCACAATTCCAATTTATGTTCGTGAACAAGCTGCACGTCCACCAGCAAGAGAAGAAGTAAGCGTTGAGCCATCAGAATATACAGGAGAGCCAGGAAAGGAAGTCAAATTGTATTGTAATGCAAGTCCAAGAGGTAAGGTCACATGGACCAAAACAGGATCAGTTCAACTGCCAAGAAATGTTTATGTTAGCGGAGAAGAGTTGACAATTCAATATACAACTGTTGATGATTCAGGAAGATATATCTGCTCTGTTCAATTCCCTAACGGTGTTACTCGTCAATCATATGCTGATGTAACAATTGAAGCTAGATCTAATGAGTAAGTTGCCTGTAATTTTGATTGGGCTTGAACAAACTTAATGTCCATTAGACTAGAGTACGGCATCAAGTTAGAATCACTTTAGAGCTACAGATCATCTAATTTATTAAAATCCTACTCATTCTTATCTTAGACAACCAGCAAAAATCAAGCCACTCGAACAAAGATACACAGTCATCCAAGGCACAGACTTTGAACTCATCTGTGACACAACTGGAACTCCATACCCAACTGTTACATGGTCAATGGTGAGCTTCTCATTTTCTTATTGAACTTAATGTATTACCATATAATTCACAGAGCGGAGGACAGCTTGCATCAAATGCAAGACAAACTGGAAATGTTTTGAGAATTTTGAACATCAATGTTGAAAACAGCGGTGTTTATGTATGTTTGGCAACAAATAATGCTGGAAGTGATCAAGTTGCAACTGTTATTGATGTTGAACGTAAGTTGATAGATACAATTGATAGTAATTGAATGAGTTGTGTCTTTGTCTATTTTGTAAAATATTATGGTCATTTAAAATTTCCTTATTAATTCTTACAAGCAACGGATAAGTCAAGGGGTAAATTAATCTAGATGCTGCTTGTTCATTTTGTTATGATTACTTATGGCTTGTAAATTAGTTGTCATAAAATTAAACCTAAAGGATTAAAATTAATTTCAGGTCGCGAACCACCAGTCGTTGAGCTCTTCCCTAAGGAATCACAGAAACTTCGAGTCGGTGAATCAACACGTTTGAGTTGTAGAACACTTTCAGGATCACCACATCCAACAGTCACATGGGTGCGTCGTGATGGACAAAGATTATCATCAAGAATCACAGAAGACTATCCAGGTGTCATTACATTGAGAGATGCTAAGTTAGATGATGCAGGTGTCTACGAATGTAGAGCATCAAATATTGCCGGAGAGACTTCATTGTCAACAACATTGGAAATCCAACAACAGCCATCAATTAAATTATATCCAGACATTCAAAGCTTTGATCTCACCGAAGGTGATGAGTTGAAATTTAATTGTATTGCCACAGGTACGCCAACACCAACAGTCACCATCAAGTCACCAGATGGAGTTCCACGTATGGAAGTAAGAACCTCAGAGATTCATCGTGACCAAGGAGAAGCATCAGTTTCACATTATAATATTCAACGAAATCAAGCAGGATTATATGAGTGTGTTGCTGTTAATGACGCAGGACAGGATGTTAGATACATCCAAGTTAATGTTGCTGTTAAAAGAGGTGATGCCGGTATGATCAGTCTTTTATCTTTCTTTTGGATTTGGCACTTCTTCACTATATCAAAATTGGCTTTTTCTTTTTCATTTTCCTACATTTTACATACAAAACAAGGGAAGGACTTGATACTTAATAATTAAGAGTCATGTTAAGAATTGAATGCATGCCTTTAGATGCATTATAAGGATCAAAAGCACAATATTTTAATGTGGTTCTTCAAAAGTGTTCATCCCTTGTTTGCCAGCTACTTCAAATTGACACCAAAACCTAATCAAATTTCTCTTTTAGGTATTCATGATCAAGATGACATTAATGAAATTCCAGATGAACGTTATCCCTTACTTTCGACAGAGAGGCCAAGACCAACAATGAATTATCCACCACAATTACCAGATGAAACTGCTTTCCAACCAACACAACCAGTTTCACAGCCACCATTCACAGTTCATCTTGGTGAAAGAGCTGAATTCAACTGCAGAGAAGAAGGTCGCAATGTAAGAACTGAATGGAGACGTGCCGATGGTCAAAGATTGCCACAAGGTGCCAACATTTATGGTGGTCAATTGATTATTGAAAATGTTGGATATGATGCCAATGGTCAATATGAATGCTTCATTTATGATAGTTATCGTCGTCCAGTAACACTTTTATTGGCACAACTTGTTGTTGTTGGTGGACCACCAAAGATTGCTTTCAATCCACCCATGCCAATTACAGTTAGATCTGGTGATGATGTTATGATTTATTGTAATGCAACAGGCGATGGTCCAATTAGAGTGTACTGGCATGGCGATGGTGGAGCTCGATTGCCATCGTAAGTATTTTCTGAATTTGGAAGTGGATTTAAGGAATCAAAAGCTTGCCTTAATGGAAGGAGGGATCTTCCCAAGAGGATCGTTTTGATCTCGAGATACTCATTTTATTTTGACCTTTTTCAGATCTGTTCAAGTCAGTGGAAACTACTTAAGATTTAATAAGATTGCACCAGCTGATGAGGGTCGATATGTTTGTACTGCATCAAATGTTTATGGAAATACTACAAAGGTTGCTGAAGTTATTGTTGATCGTAAGTTTTTGAGAAGTGACTTTCTAGATTACTATATTACTAGATTACTGGATTTATTTATAGTACTACAGTAATATATTAATAGACTACTAGTTTACTATATTAATAGAGTACTAGATTCTTATATTACTAGAGTACTAGATTACTAGAGTACTAGATTTATTTAGAGTATTAGAGTACTAGATTAGTAGAGTATTAGATTAATAGTGTACTAATTTGCTAAAGTACTTGATTACAATGGTATTAGATTACTAGAGTAATAGAGTACTAGATTCCTTGTGTCCTTGATTATTAGAGTTCTAGATTAATATAGGAGTACTAGAGTACTAGATTAATATAGTACTAGATTTCTAAAGTACCAGATTACGATAGTATTAGATTACTAGAACATCAGATTTCTGAAGTACTAGATTATTAGAAAAATAGATTCTTAAAGTGATAGATTGCTAGAGTACTAGATTCCTACATTACTTGAGTAATAGAGTATTAGATTCCTTAAGTAATAAATTACCAGAGTTCTTTATTATTAGAGTACTAGATTTATAAAGTACTAGACTTTTAGGGTACTAGATTACTAGAGTGCTAGATTATTATACCAATGGAATGATGAAGAACAATAGTTATGTTTAAATTAACTGAACTAAAGAATTATAAATACCATTTCAGACAACTCACCACCAAATCGTCCACAAAACCCAGAAATTTATGGACGCACGAAGGAAGGCTATGAAGGAGACCAAGTAACATTGACATGTTCAGATGACGGTGCATTACGTGGATATATTAGAGTAAATTTCAATTATTTTGATTTCTTTTTATAGCTTTTATTAATTCTTTGGAATTCAGAATTTCGATCGACAGTTGAAAATGTTTTAGCTAAATCTATTGCAAAAATTCTAATGATATTTCCTAATTAATTCCCCAAATACAGTACGAATGGGAAAAAGAAGATGCAGATTTGCCACCACTTGCCGAAAATCGTGACAACATTTTGATTCTCTACAACACCCGTTATGATGATGGTGGTCGTTACATCTGTAAGATCTACACCGAGGACGGAAGAGTGACACAAAACTATGTGGATCTTGTCATTAAGCGTGAGTATCGTCGTCGTCGTCAAAATCATAGAAATAATAATAATTCAAATAGACGACGAAGAAGATTTTAAAAAATAAACCTTTTTTAATTAACAAGACATAAACAAAAAAAAAATCTGAAATACTCTAAAATTGATGAAAAAAAATGATAAATTTAAAAAAAATTAAAATTGATGAATTAACTGCCAAGAAGTAGAAACTTAACAAATAATAATTCACTGCCTTCCAAAAAAAGTTCAGAACTAATTTTTAAAAATATAAATTGAATATTAATGCGATAGATGAAGTTTCACCAATTAATTTCAAAATTCTTTGTATATATTTTTGCAGTTTTACTAAAAAGATTTCTAATAATTTTAAAAACAATTCCAACCTAATATTTTTTTCACGAATATTAATAAAAATTGATTAAAAATGCACAAAAAAATCACTAATTCACCTTTTTTCCCAAAAACAAAAACAAAAGAAAATTTTTGTCTGTGATTTAGTTTTTGTGTAATCAGATTTGAGAATCAGACAACAATTTTAATTAATTGTAATTCAAATTTACCAACCCTTCTTAACTTACTTATTTACCCAGTAATGAATTAATGATAATAACAAAAAAATGAATATCTATTGCTTAATAATAATAATCCTTATTATAAAGCTCACATGTGCACCATAAATATATTTTTAAAAAATTTATTATTTGTTTAATTCCATAATAAAAAAAGACTTTTGTTGCTTTCTGCCTTTTAATTTTCAAAAAAATGAAGGACTTTTGTTGTTATTTTTTTATGAGTTTTTATTTTCGATTCCTTTTTAATTTTTTATTTGCATGCCAAAACATCCATACTTATATTATATTTGTAGACATCAATTGATACAAAAGAAATGACGGTATTAGTTGTGGAGATGTAGTAATAAATAATATGAAGATTGAAGGAGGAACTAGACAGATTTTTGGGGGAATGAAGGATGTTGAATTTTTCAATTTTTTAATAATTTAATCTTAATGTCATCAAAATAGATTTTAAAATTCTTAATACCTACGATATGACTCTCAATGACTGGTTTATATGAATCATTAGATTGCTTCTATGGCAGGTTACTCAGTTTACATAAAGGGGTGTTCTACCCTTGATGTTAACAATAGCGATATTACTTAAGTTCAACTAGGAGTCTTTTAATAGAATTGGCTAAGGTTTAGACTAGTCTTAATTTTGAAATAAAGTCAAATATTCATTAGAGAAAGACATTTTCTTGGATGTATAGATAGAAAGCTTAGCCTAGAAAGTTAACCTAGCAGCCCGTCTTTGAAGTAGACTTATCACATATACTTAAGCTGGTCATAGATTTTTGACTTGAAATATAGTCCTGAACCAATAACTTCCAACTAGCTTGAAAAATGTTTCAACTATCTTGGACTAGCTTTCAACCAGTTTGGACTAGCTATTAACTAGCTTGGACTAGCTTTTAAATAACTTGGAATAGCTATCAATTAGCTTAGACTAGCTATCAACTAGCTTGGACTAGCTTTTAAATAGCTTGGACTAGATTTCAATTAGTTTGGACTAGCTTTCAACTAATTTGGACTAGCTATCAACTAGCTTTGACTAGCTGTTAACTAGCTTGGACTAGCTTTCAACAAGCTTGAAACTGGTTTCAACTAGCTTGGACTGGTTTTTAACTAGTTTGGACTAGCTTTTAACTAGACCATAAAAATTCTTTAAGACTCGACAAAGGTTTAAATACTTTTTGGAGATATAATCTGGTACAAATACAACTAAAACTTTGAAAAACTGATAGTCACTTACAAGTAATTCCCAAAAATCCTGAAAAATGATCATCATTCTCTCCAAATTCTGTCAAATTCAACTTCCATCTTCTATTTATAACAATAATCTAAACAGCAAGTAAAATTTTGCACACAAACAAAACATTGCAATTGAGAAACACCAGAAGACAGTAGATGTTCCTCTCGAGTAGATAAAAAATACACTAATTAGTCACAGAGTTGGGATTAAGCTATGGTTTGTTATATAAAATAATAAGTGTAAAGTAAATTGTGTTCAATATTCAGGATTTTTATTCTTGGTTTATGGAATTTTTTGAGGTTAGGTTTGATGAATTCAATTGAACTTTGATGAATTCGATTGAATTTTGGTGAACTCAATCAACATTTTCTTGACAAACTTAACCTCAAAATTTTCATCAACCAAGAATCATTGACATTCTTGGAGTGGGGTTTTCTATAAGTCAAATAATTAACATGCTTAAAACTTTCAACATTGCAAAGCATTTAATTTGAATTCTTATCATTGCTGTCTACATTTCCTGTATCAAATAAAATTATTCATCATACCAATTAAGCTACACAAACCACTTTTAACATAAAACTTTCATTTCCTCTCGCATTTTTCCTTATTTTTCTGCTTTTTTGATCAAAAAATGATTTTTTTGATTTTTTTCCACAAATTTTTTGTTTTGTTTTCACCTCTTTTTTTTTGTCCCTTGAGTTCCACATCCACATCGATGTCTTACACAATGCAAATATTTACACACACATAATTCAAATGCATGCGTGAATTAAGCACAAATGCAAATATAAACAGAAGTTGACTAAAAAAATTAAAATTTTTTCACTTTGTGTTGATTTTTCTTTCCTCACAATTCACACAAAAAACGAAATTAATTAATTCATAAGTACCTATTTTGATGTAATTGAGTGTTTTAAACGCAAAATAAAATATTCAGCACATGAACAATTTGTTGCACCTCACACACAATTTCACACAAAATTTTTAATGATTTTGTATTTATATAATTTATGTTGTCACATGCCAATTTCACTTACGGATGATTTTGGAGTGAGAATGTTTAATTTAATGAGATAAGAGGGATTTGAGGAGGAGTTAAGGGATGAGGAATTTAGCTATTGAGGATGAATTATTGAATTAAATTATTGATACCAGAACCATAATCTATAATTGAAAATTGATTGTCTTTACCAGTGTTTCTCAATGTTTTTTGATCCACGGCACAGTTTTGTACTTAAATTTTTTCGCGGCACACTAAATGATCTTCATGACCTTTTTGAAGTCATTAAACATGAAAATATATGGCAAGTCTGAGCCTTCAAGTTTTTTTGCGGCACATCTGGAACTCCTGGAGTGTGTTGTGGCACGCAGTTTAAGAACCACTGGTCTATATTCTGGGTAATCAATAAAACTAAGGCTAGAGTTAAATATCTAAAGGAACCTAAAAATACCTAAAGTTGCAGGAATTGGGGGGGGGGGGGGATGGAAGGTTTTGATTATGAAATAGGTTTGAGGTTACTTATTCGATTTAGACCATTATGGTTTTTTAATAGACTAAGCTTTATTTGAAAAATCCCTTAGCCCATTAATATTATTCAACACCCCCCCCCCCCCCCCCCCTCTCTTTAGCTCTCATTAATAATTTCAATAAACTTTTATCCTGACAAGACAAAAAATCAATTAAAATTCCTCAAAACAAATATAAATATTCTCACTTCAACATCAATAATTGTCCATTTCACGCAGTACACACATGCAATTGATGTTGTCACTTATAAAATAAAAACGCTTACCAACTGTTGTTGACAAATTAAAATAATTTAACTTTCAATTAATTAATTTAATTAACCAAATTGACATACAAGTTTCCAATTTTCATTGTTTTTGGGCCAATAATTGAGCAAAATTTTTTTTTAAAAAAATATACTTTTGTATTGTTTTCACATTATTTACACAATTACACAACAACAACAAAAAAAATCACACCAATTATTATCTATGATACATTTTCAAATTTACACAAAAAACATTTCTTTAATGAAAAAATACATTTTTCCATATTTGAATAAAAAAAAATTGAAAAATATATAAAAATTGAAAGGTTACCGTGACATAATACAATATGTGTGTACGCCGATATACATTCGTTGTCGAGCAATTCCAAATTGTGTGCGATCTCCAAATATATGCAACGGTGTTAAAAAATGCATGAACAAATGGAACACAAATAATGACTGTATCCATTTGAAGCGGACACTTCATACCATGAACAATGATGTCAGGGTCGTAGGACAGGGATTAGCGCCAGCCAGTTTTATTGGTTTGTTCTTTACAGCTTTTAATTTTTTAATTTCAATTTGAAAGAAAATTTTTGTAAAAAAATATTTTTTTTTGCTTTCCACAATTTTTGTTTAAGTTTGGAAGGCAAAAAAAACTCGCCACAAACTTCATTAATTTATAATTTTTTTATGTTTTATTATTATTTAGTGTTGTATCTCCAAAAAAAACAGTTGTCATAATTTTATTATTTTATTTTATCAGATTTTATATTCAAACGTTTCACATTTAGATGAATAGAATACATGGCAATGTAAAATAATGTCTAGCAAATATTTTGCCAGTTGAACAAAAAAATAAGAGTCAACAAAATTGGTGAATTTTAAAAATTTTAAATTAATTTTTTAATGCTCAAATTGGTACAAAATTTTAAATTTTTTGCTTAAACTATTTGCAAGACTAGGATATTTATGGGACATGGCTTTAATTAATGTTGTAGATAGTTGTTGACAAATTAGTGATAGTTCCGCTTTACTCGTTATTGTGAAGTTTTGTATGGGAAAAAATTACTATTTCCTGTAAATAACAGAACTTTTATATGTGCTTATCGTGTTTTTCGTGAGATATTTATGTATATCAGTAGTTGAACTAGTCAAAAGGAATCATTTTAGTGTTTTTTGTTTTAGAAAAGTTCAATGAAATAAATTTGATTTTTGAAGAAATTGAAGTTTATAATTTTTTCTGGATATTTTTGTTTCTACTTTAGATGATGATTAGGCTAGGCTGATCATCTACTAGGTTTCCTAAAAAAATCCTCTACACTTTTTTCATTTTTAAAAAAATAAAAATAGTTTTATTTGCTCTCATTTAGTCCGAAAAATGAATACAACTAGTCAACATTAGACATGACCCAGAAATGACATTTACTTCCCTAAAATATATTCAAGGTCTTAGCTAGAAATTTTTTTCATGGCACACGACTTGGTAATCACTAAAGTCTAGTGTGCCTAGCTACACTTAAATCTAAGAATCAACCAAAATAATTTATTCATTGAACTTTTAAACTTACTTCAAAAATCAGACCTCAAAATAAACTTAGAAATCTGAAATTCAAAAAATTCTGCTTTAAAAATGTCCAAACTTAAATGTGCTTTTTGTGTGTAAATGTTTTATCAAGAAAATCTATCTGCAAAAGATGAAATCCTTTTTTTTTCGTATTTTATTTATCATAAATTTGTTTATCCTTTCTCGCACCTTCTCATCATCATTGCTTTAAGACACCTGAAATCGAAATATGGTTTATTGGTGAACTTACCTTCTATCCTTTTGCATTTTGTGAGCATTATTTTTCTATCTCTATACACTCTCTCTCTCTTTTGCTACCTATTTGAAATTATTTTTTGTTCAAAAAAAATTGGGAGTTTTCGTTGGGTTTTGCTGGGGGTAATGGTGGGGATTAGAACTTTATTTAATTTGAAATTTTTATTTTTTAAAATTAAAAGATAAAAAAATTTGAATTTTAAACATTTGAATTTTAAAGAATTTGAATTTTAAAGAATTTGAAGTTTAAAGAATTTGAATTTTAAAGAATTTGAAGTTTAAAGAATTTGAATTTTAAGAAATTTAAATTTTAAAAAAATTTGAATATTTTAAAATTTTCATTTTTTAATTTCAAATTCTATATAGTTCAAACTTTTGAAATTCTAATTTTTTAAAAATAAATTTTATTGAATTTTAATTTTGAATTATATCAGTTTCCACTTAAAAAACAATTAAAAAGTTGTAATCCTCAATTCCAAAACAAAAAACCTCAACAAAAACTTCCCCAAAAATATCAAAATTTGCATCAAAATTATGCCAAATGCAGAATCGCTTGAAATATTTATAAAAAAGTGCACTAAAATGCATAAAAAACTTTCGCATTCAACTCATCTTAAAAATATTTTTAAATCATCATAAAAAAGAAATTAAAATTATATTCACAAAAATTGAAAGTTTTGTGTGAATATGAAATTTAAATTAAGAGAAAAACTAAAAAAATCATTTTAAAAATCATTTTGTAAATAAAAATCGCAAATGAAAAAAATGGTGAAGGAACTAAATGTCGCTATAAAAGTTGTCATATAAATAGAAAAAAAAAGAAAATTTTAAATGTTTAAATGTTTAAAGATATAAAAATATTATTTTAATTTCAAAATTCTTACATATTTTTTTGTTATTTTTGAAGGACATGATTAGGGATTGAATGGTTGAAGGATTGAAATGAGATTAGTTTTAAAGTATTTAAAGCTAGTAGTTACTCTGTTGAGACTTAGTAGTACTTAATAATTACTGAATGACCTTAATATGACGTCTATGCACCCCATTTATTTATAGATGTCATTTTCTATCGATCTTTAATTGTTTCTGCTGTTAATCCAAAGAAGTGACTATAAAAATAATTTTAATTAAAAACCTAAATTCTATTGCTGTGAGGGACTCTATTTTAATATTTTTTTACCAATCTACACCCCTGACTTTATCGTCCAGTACCCCTGCATTCTACAATTTCAAACCTTCCAAATTCAACCATTCAATTCCAACTGTCAATTTTTAAAATATATATTTTTTTACCATATTCAACAACATGAAGTAATTTTTTCTTGGCCCTTATTTCCAAATTCAAATCCAAATTACTTCATGTTGGACAATTTTTTTTTATAAAAATCCCTCAATTTTTACAGCTTTTTAACATATTTTTTTTTCTCTTTTATTTCTCTTTCCTTCTTCTACTCTTTCTCACTCTATCCTGTCAACTTACCTTACTTTTAATGAAACATTGCTTCCAAATCGAAAAAAAAAAATATTTCCTAAATCATAAAAAAATACAGCGGCAATTCCACACTTGACATTGTCAACTCAACGATCTTATGTCAAACCGGGCGGATTTGCTGAAGTCGAATGTAAGTCATCAGCTGGACCAGATGTTAAGGTTACTTGGCAAGCAGTGAATGGAGAGCCACTTCCTCTTAATTTCGAGGTAAGTTTTCCTGAGCAATTCAATGGCAGTCATGTTGAGCTATTGAACTAATCTTAACTACTTCCCTATAATAATTTCATTCTTCCTTTCCTTTCTAATACCAGCAATACGGCAACCGACTTATCATCACAAACGCTCAAAATGACAACAGCGGTAGATACAACTGTGTCTGCTACACAACCGAAGGACAAGCTTATCTCAGCGAATACGAACTCGTTGTTGAAGAACCACCAGCAAAACACATCACACCACGTGTTGAACATGCTGAAGTCGGTGCAAGTGTAGTTCTTCGTTGCGATTCACAACGTTCACCATCAACATATTTATGGACAAAACAACACGGCTCATTCCCACCAGATGTTGATACACACTCAGAAATCTTGAAATTAATTAATGTTCAAGCTAGCGATGCTGGAACTTACATTTGTAATGCTCGCCACAATGGTCAATTGGTTGAAATTCCAACAACTTTAGTTGTTACTGGTGCAATTCCATTCTTCCCACAATCGCCAAGAAGTTACATGAAGTTCCCAAGACTTGATCAAGCTTACTCAAAGTTCAACTTTGAAATCACATTGAGACCTGAAAGACCAAATGGTTTGATTCTTTACAATGGACAGAAACGTGGATCTGGAGACTTTATTGCACTGTCACTTGTTGATGGAGTTCCACAATTCCGATATGCATTTGGTGACCAACGTGGAATCTTGAAACCAGAAAAACCATTGACATTAGGCGAATGGCATACAATTAAAGTCAATCGTGTACGAACAAATGGATGGATGATTGTTGATGATCAACATCCAGTCATCTTCCCACCAAATCAGAAATTCCAAGGATTGAATCTTGAAGAAGATTTGTTCATTGGCGGTGTTGCTAACTTTGATCATATTGTACCTACAGCTAGTGAAGTTAAGGAAGGCTTTGTTGGATGTATCAGCCGTTTAGTCTTGAACGAACGTGACATTCAAATCAATCAAGAAGTAATTTATGCTGAAGGAACAACAGCTTGTGAGCCATGTGCTGATGAGCCATGCATGAATGATGGAGTGTGCTTAGAAACACAAACTGATCATGGATACACATGCGTTTGTCAAGACGGATATACAGGACGTAATTGTCAAGTTCTTGGATCACAATGCTCATTAGGTGTTTGCGGAATTGGAAGATGTAGCGAGACAGACGTTGGAATTGAATGTTATTGTCCATTGAATAGAACTGGAAACAGATGTGAATACATTGAACATTATGACGACAGAATTCTTTCATTCAGAGACGGAAGCTATGCAGCATACGACAAATTGACAGGAAAGAAGAATATTAAATTCAAGATCCGACCAGAAACTGATGAAGACGGTGTCATCCTTTATGCTGGTGAATCAGACAAAGCCTACGGTGACTTCCTTGCTGTCGTCTTAAAGGATAAGCACATTGAATTCCGATATATTGTTGGTGGCAAAATCCTTCCAGTCATCATTCGATCAATCAATCCAGTCAAAGTACATGAATGGATGGACATTTCAGTTGGTAGATCAAGAGCTGGTCTTGGATATCTCCAAGTTGACAATGAACCACAAATCAATGAACCACGATCAGCTGGACGTGCACAAACATTGTATTTGAAGACGAACCTTTATGTTGGTGGATATGACAAGAGAGTTGTGCTTAATCGTGGTGTTGCAGTTACAAAGGGCTTCGAGGGATGCGTTGCTGGGGTAAGTTGATGAGATTGATGGTCGCTGACTGTCATTGGACTTGTTGGTAATGATAATATCAAGGCTAGGATATAAAAAAGTCCAGGGATTGCTATTCATGTGATTAGTATTGTCATAATGTCCTATTGGAGTTCTGTAGCTATGCAGAGCTCAATACTCAAAAGAATGAACCTCTGCATCTATAAGCACATCATTACAGTACTTTTTCAATTTCAGCTTGAAATCGCCGGCAAATCTATTGACATGATTTCTGACCTTCGTGATTCAGCAAATGTACAAAACTGTGGACATCAACCATTACTTCCAGTTGACGACGATGAAGGTGTAAGTACAATATTAACGGTTCTCATACCTTTCCAAAGTTCTAATAACAATACTTACCTTTAGTCCGGTGAATATCCAGAAACAACAAGCAACGAACCACCACCGGTGATCTGCAGACCAGGATATACAGGCAGACGTTGTGATATTGAGGATGATGTGTGTGCAGCTAGAGAGCCATGTGAAAATGGTGGAATTTGTTCAAAATTAGCAGGCAATAAGTATCGTTGTGACTGTACATTAGGATATACAGGAGATCACTGTCAATTCCCAGTTCTGATCCAAACATCAGCATCATTCAAGGGCAACAGTTGGCTCGAATTAGACAGAAATACAATTGCTAATGGCTCAAAGCAGCTTGCAAGCGGAATTGCACTTTTGTTCTCAACAAAACAATCTAATGGATTACTTTTATGGTATGGACAGAACAAAGGACATGCATTTAATGGTGAAGACTTCCTCTCACTTGCTGTAAATGATGGAATCTTAGAGTTTGCATTCCGATTGGATGGTGAAGAGTCATTCATCCGTCATCATGGAACACGTGTTGATCAAAATGTTAGACATATTGCAATATTGAAGAGAACTGGCAATCAAGCTAGTCTCGAACTTGATGGATTAACAGAATATGGCGAGACAAGACCGACACTTAAGAAAGACATGGAACTTCCAGGTCATATCTTCCTTGGTGGTGCACCAGATATGAGAAGATTTACAGGCGATCGTCATACGCAAGGATTCATTGGATGTATACATGTTGTTGAGCCTATTGCAGGTGGTCCAATTCGATTGGGCGAAAAGACTATTAGTTCTATGAATATTGAACAATGCTCGTAAGTTTGACAATTTTTTTATATCCGATATTTCCTTTGCATTTCCATTATTTTTCATTAATTTACTAAAATTGAAAATTTTCTCTTCCAAATGCTGCTCATAATTATTTTTTTTGGAATATATATTTCTATCCTCCTGTATAAATTCATTTTGTATTGTAAATAATTCAGTAATTTACTATGGATGTCATCCTCACTCCTCTATGGTGACGATGAGCTTGATGAGTTTGATTTGCACTTCGATCCAAGTCATTTTGACGAAATCGAGGAGCCGCCACCTGTTCATATCCTCTATCCACGTCCAACATACAATAGAGCATGCAGTATTAGATTGCTTAGTAATCATCTAGTTAAAACTTATTTTCTTAGTCATTTTTATCATAGTCAATTGGTCATTTCTTCTGTGGTGACAAGTCTTCTCATTTATATCGTTCATAACTCTAATTTACTCATAATCCTATGAAATTTTATTAATTTTTTATCGGAACGAATGAATTCTGTTGAATGTGATCTTAAGTACATAAATATGTAAAAAAAAAAGTAAATTGTTAGTGAAAAAATTGATGATTCGCACAAATTTTTCAACAAAATTAAAGAAATAAATGAATGAGATGGCAAAGATATTACGTTAAGAGACATCAAGTGATACCGAGAATAAGTACATAAGTAAATAATACATTAGTTAATTTAAATGTATAAGTATTATTGTTAAAGGTTTTGTAAATGTACCAAAAAAAAACAAAAGATATTAATGATCTTAATCGCCTTTATCCACTCTTTTGTTGCACATTCAAGACTTTCACAAAACTACATTTCAGTCTTCATTCATTGTTAAACATTTTTGGTTATGGTAACACTTAATTTATATTTTTCAAGCTTTTTTCCTTATTATTTTAATTATTGAAGAATTGTTTTTATTATGTTAAAGATGAGATTATTGTTGAATTTTAATTGTTTTATGTTATAAACATTTTTTATTTTTGTTCATCGTTGATAATTGCAATATTTATTTTGTACTTAAGTTTGACACATATTTATCACATCTAATCGGCAAGATAGCTTGTCTGTTAAACGACATACACACAATATTGGGGATACTTCTTGAAAATTGACGCTATTTTCAATAGTTTTTGAATTTTAAGTCTTTTCTGATACAATTTGTGTCTAATGACTAGCTGCAGGGCATCTTATACTAAGTTCATAGACATACTTTAACAATAATTGAGTTTCCAAATCATTCAAATTTCAAGTATTAAGCTAGAAGGGTTTAAAAACCTCCAATTTGTGTAATTCTTAACCAGTTAAGAACCCCTGGATCTAAGCAGATATGAAATTAAGATTTTGTTTGTCATTCCCGAATAGTACTAGTCAGTTAATAATTAAAATTAAAGCCAGTGTGACTCTCGCATTTTGCTGGATTAAAACCGAAGCCAGCATCATGCCAGAGTCTTGCCAGATTTATATTCGATCAATTGACTTGCGCTTTTTAAAATTGAATCAGCTCTAGTCGTCTAATCCATACAACATCTCAATTGATGTCAGACTAAACTGCATAAAATAACGTTCAAAGACTCGCAATCCTCAAAAAAGAAACGTTTATATTTCAAACCAAAAAATGCCTCCTCTTTGACTATTAGCTCAAAAACAGCAACTTCCATTTCCATAACAAATTCCACAAATAATTCTTCCACTTCAAGAAGTTATTCCCAACACACTACTTCCACATTTACGACTGCATTAATTCACCAAAGCATTTTAATCATATCATATCTGTTGAATATATAATCAGAAGTAGCTCATAAATGCAAACCGCGAGAAATCTAATCATTTTAATTTATTGTCATAACAAACACCTTTGTCACCTTATTATCAAGTCGTGTCTATCATTCATCAAACATTGAGCATCCAAAAAGATGCAAAAAAGAAACTGCTAATCTACATAGAATGACTGAAATATTTGTTTTTTTGTTGGGATTTTAAAATAATTGAAAGAATTTTGATTTAGTTGAGAATTTTTTTTATACATTTTGATTTGATAAAGTTATAGAAATTTTAATTTTTTATAAATTTGAAATTTTGAAAGTTTAAAAATTTGAAGTTTTTGAATTTTTTAAAATTTGAAGTATTCGAATATTTTAAGATTTCAAATTTGAAGCTTTCGAATTTTTTGAGATTTAAATTTTTAAATACTTTAAATTTTTGATTTTAAAAAACTTATAATTTTAAATTTTTGAAAACTTAAAGTTTTCAATTATTAAAAACTTTAAATATTCAATTTTTTAAAAAACGGAACTAAGTTTAAAATAAAATTCGAAAATTAAGTTTTTGTACTAGAAATTGTACTAGAAATGCTTGATTTAAAATTCAAAATTATTTTAAATTAATATAAAGAAACAAAAATTTCAGAGAAAAATATTCCAAAATAATGAACTAACCCAAAACAGAAAATGAATAATAATAATTTTCAATATTCAAATGGTGAGGTTTTATTTGTAAATAATTCAAATTTAACAAGTTACTTATGACGCATGTTGATAAAATTTCAATTAAATTCGTTAACTTAGACATCAATTAACATGAAAATTTACCATAATTTAAAAAAACAACAAATATTTTAACTTACACTGTATGAACAAAAAAATTAAATAAATATTTTACAGAGAATCCGATGATGACGACGATGCATTTTTGGGAACAGAACCACCAGTGGTTTAAGAACAAATAACACAAACACACACTCACAAAAATGAGAATAATTTTTTTTATGTTTACCATGAATAAATTTTTTAAAAAAATTAGATGAAGATGAAAATTATTCAAAATTCCAAAATTTGTTTTGCACACCAATTTAAAATTAAAAATAGAAATTTGAAAAAAATTAAAAGAAATTCAAACCTTACACTTGATACACAAAACACGAAATGTATTTAAAAAATACTAATCGTCGTCGAAAGAATGAAAAAAAAAATTGAATTTTTAAGAAGAAAAAAAATGAAGAAGATTTTTGTCAATTTTGTGCCAAATTCTCATTACTCTAGTTGATAAGTTCTTGACATTTTTATGTTTTTTTTTTGTCTTAAACGATGAATTATTATTGTAGAATAAATCTTTTTCTCTCGGTTCCCGCACTGCCTTTTTCTGCCTTTTTTAAAAATGAAGTAAAAAATTTTTTATTAATTTTAATCTTTAAATTGTATATTTGAATCAAATTTATGTCTATTTGGGTCAAACCTACATCAACAAAAAAATGCTTCTTAATTTGATATTTTTTTTTCGTAATTAAAATTTATGGGAGATTTTGTCACTTGGACATTAAATAACTTTTTTTAAATATATATTTTAATTTCTTGATTGTTCTAGTGACACAGCTATTGAAGTTTGTTTTGGTTGGAGTTATCATTAATGGGAAGTTTTTTATTTAGTCTACAGGCTGGGGTTTGTGCGAATGTATGGGGTGCATAGGATTGAGTTATTTCAGTGATGTTCAACCTTTTTTGTGCCACGGTTAACTTTGCTGGTATGCCGCACACGACATACGATTCGTGGGATTTCCTGATGTTTGTAGCGACACACTATTTGACCATCATTGAATTATTAAGTTGGGATTTCAAACTGATCTGTCGAGTATCTTTTTTAAAACTGCTTCTAAAATAACTATGAAATGATTTTGTTGAAGTTGAAAAACTTTGGGTTTGTAAAGTAAGAGGGGCATTGAGGGAGTAATTTGAAGGGAATAAGGACTTGAACGAACCACTTAATCTTGTTTCAACTGAAATCATCAAATTAAATCGAGAAACTCAGCAGCTAAATGATCTATTGATTAACATCACAAATTTGCTTTTTTATTAAATATTGTTGAAAGTAGAATGTAGTATGGCATCTAATTTGAGGCTGGAAGTCTTTGATTTTGTGACAGTTCAAACAAAGTAATATTTTCCTTACAAATTTTGTAACAGAAGGGGGTGGGAGGAGGAGGGGGTCTAAAAATCTAGTTTTTTGATGAAGAGGGTCATTTAGACAAGTAAAACAACAGATTGCAACATTAGAAAAAGAAACTTTGACTCGACCTAATTTAAGCTTGGTTTTTAAAAAAAGATTTCAGACAATTTTCAATCAATAAACATTCAAATTCTCATTGGAAATTCCGAATATACTTTATAATAGCAGATAACCCACTGATGACAGCCCTTGGTTTTTCATTACTACGATTATTTCTTAAAATATAAAATTTTCCCATTTAATAACTCCAAATCATTCAAATTTCCAGTGATAGACTCCCATCAGCGGAATAAAAAAAAACTATTAATCTATAAAATTATGTTAAAGAGTATTTGTCATATTCTTGTGAAAGTGCCATTATTTTTTTCCTTCCTTTTTTGTTAAAACAATTTCAAAAAAAAAAAATCAATTTTAATTCTTGACTCTATAAATTTTTTGTTGAGGTGCTATGACAATTACAATTTAATGAACTAATACAAAAATATCGTCTATTATCAAAGTCATATCATGAAAAAAAAAGAATATGAATATAAAAAAAATAAACAAAGCTACCAAAAATTTTTTCTGAAAAATTGAGAATGAAGAAAATAATTAATTAAAAAGAATATACAATGATATATGAAGAACCATAATTAAAGTAATAAAAAAGATATAAAAAACTTCTTTTTTTGCATTTTTTTATTTTAAATAATTTTTGAAAGGGTAGAAAATTTTGAAAAGATTCCCCCAACTCTGAATTTTGTGTACAGAACAAGAAAAAAAAATTTTTCTTTTAAATTTTTATTTTTTTAAAAAATGGAAGTTTTAAGAAAAAAAAATACACCAATTTGTATATCTTAATAATGTATGAAACGAATAAAAATTAATGAAAAAAAAAAATTAAAGCGAATAAAAAAAACTTGACAATAAAAAATAAGAAAACTTAAAAAATTTAAATTTAAAATTGTTTTTTTTTTTAAGTGCTTCTTAATTGTATAACAGCTAGCGACATCTTTATTTCAGAGAAGAAAAAAACTCAGGACGTTCAGCTCAAATAAATGATCTTGATTGTGAAAATAAACAATATATTCACAAAAGTTGAAATTTAATGAAAATTTGATTTATTAATAATGAATTTATTCCTAAACTTACTCTGGAATGTTGCTGGCTTCAAATAAAATCAAGCACCACGCCACAATCACACCGGCTTGGTGCTAGATTTCTAATCGATTAGCCGACTTGTGCTATTCGGGTTTGATCAGCTTTATTTTTAAAGAAAACAATATGTAAAAAATAAACCATGTTTATTATCAATTTCAGTCGCTATTTTGTTTTCGAGTAGAACAGTAATTTTAAATTTTGCCAAGTATTTTAAAAAATACTTTGAATTTTTCTTAATAAACACTATCAAACTACATCAGAAATGCTTGTTAAAAGTTTAGGAATTTTAATTATCTTAGCTGGTTTTTTAATTTTTGAAATCAACGCAGGTAAAGTTAAAGATGAAATATTTTACAAAATTGCATTTATTATTTGACTTAGAGTTAAATCAATCTGTCAAAGATCTGTGGATGTGACACCTCCTTTTAACTGCTGTATGTTTAAGCTAATGTAAAGCAAAACGAGTTCGATGTGAATCGAACGCACGATCTCAAAAGAGTCAATCTCTGACCATTTGATCATAGATCTCTGCCACTCGGCTTCAAGGTTCTTACCTCACTTCAGATATCCGTCATTCAGCTTCACAGGTAGCACTTTGCTCAGGCCTATCTACTCTTGATATGCTGTTCAAGCCAAATTCACAAGATCGCAACTCTAATTAGACCATTTCAATATTTTTTTTTGTCTTTATTTTAAAACCTAGTTTGTAATAACGTAACCGAATTCACATGTAGCGATGGTTCATGCATTCCTCATGCAGATAAATGTAATCGAGTCTACGATTGTCGTAACGGAGAAGACGAAAATGATTGTGGTGAGTTTTTGTCGAATCTTTCATAAGAATAATTAGAAATTACATTAAGTAAGATAATTAAATTGTAAAATATGTTTTTAATACTATTTTTGCTTACTTCACAATGAATTTATTTTTCTAATATTTGGAATTTGACTTACAAAATTTTAAAAAATTCTAAAACAAATTTAGAAACTTGTGACGGGTTCCAATGTGACAATGGTGCTTGTATAGTTTCTGAAAAACGTTGCGATCAAGTAGCAGATTGTCTGAATGGTGAGGACGAAGAATTCTGTATTGAAGGTAAATTATTTAAAATGATTTATTTTACTTTTAAATCATATTAATTTAATATTTTATACTCACACCAAATTTTCATTTTGTGGGAATAAATTTAATATTTTATTGGAATTTTAAAACCAACATTCAATAATTTATTATAATATATTCCCTATAGAATCAAATGTAAGTCCTACCGGAACTTGCTCAACTAACGAATTTAGATGTGGCGACGGTTCATGTATAAACAATGAATTTGTGTGTGATCGTGTTCTCGATTGTCAAGATTTTCTCGATGAAGATCCTGCAATTTGTAGTCAACAAAATCACTGATTCAACGAATTCAACAGATACTAATAAGTAGATTTTGCATACTAATGCTAAGCTTAAAGACAGTGTTGTCCAAACGTCGACATAAAAAATGACGATTTTAAAGAAAATATTGACAAATTAATTTATTTCAAAAGTGACATCTTTGTGTCACACCATCAAATTTATATTTGAATAAAAATCAGACGTTAAAATACTTTTGAAACTTGCATTTTGAAATTCATTTTATACATTTTTCTAATCAATCGTGAACATTTTCTGATATAAAACTTTATTTGATTATTTGAAAAGAAAATTAATTTTTTCGAGATTTTTCGAGTTTAAAATAATTTATTTAAAATTATGACATCACAAAAATCTTAATTTTAAACAGCATCATTAAAAGAAGGAGAAGAGTATCGAAGTCGACATAACTCTGAGCTATATCATTTATTTCAGGAAGCTGATATTGCTACAGTTCTCCGTGTAAATCGCTTGAGATGGGCTGGACATGTGTACAGACGCTCACAAAATGCCCAGTACTAAAAGTGACAGTAACAGACTTTATGAATGGCAAGAGTTTACAATGGGCAATGGGCCCACGTGCGCCCCAGCCAATGAAGTAAGTAAGTATCATTAAAACTTAATTACTAAATTCTAGACTGTCTAATTGCGTACTTTTGAGCGGGTCAGTCCCACTTTTCCGAACAAAGTCTCGCCTAAAACTCTTAATGTCCCCCTCCGTCCATCTGCATCTTGGCAGTGCTTTCTGCATTTTAGTGATTTTTAGATTAAGTTCTTTTTTGAACCTATTATTCTTGGAAAATGGTTAAAAAAAATTTTCCGCTTTTCAGAGCTTAAATCGGAATTTGTCCCACTTTTTGACCAAAAATCGGCGAAACCAATGGACAGCCTAACACTAACGTTCCTTCAAATCTTCCTCTTAATATCAATTTCTATCAGGATCAGACATAAATCCTTTATTTTTATACACATTCATATGCACGCATGGTGATTGTATTAAAATTTTAACGATTATTTATTCCATCATCTCCTTTAGTGCTCGTTCCTTTACTTCCTCCTTTTTTTCATTCAATAATTTTTTGTCTGTGCTGTGTGTTTATGTACACAAATTGGCCTATTTTTATCTCTGTGTACACTGAATGAAAATCTTGTTTGGGTAATAAAAAGTCCTCCTTCCCTTCCTGCAATTCAAAGTAATCTTTTAACTTTGATCGATTTCAAAAACAGTGATGCCTTAAATTTCCTATTCTATGCATTACTTTCGTTCAATTTTTACGTTTCATCCATGAAAATATTGCCAAATAAAATTGAGAGACACGAAAATCGTCTAAAATCCATTCCCAACATAAACATCGTTCGGCTTTTAACTTTTCTCTCACCGTAAAAAAATTCTCTCACAATTCCTCTCGACCACGTGGTTGCAATTTATGTTGTAGAGCAAAAAAGCGGCGCAGAAACCAATCACGCATTTATGCAGATATGCTTTAAAAAAAGCTTTTTTTCATTGACACAATTACTCTTTGTGTCTATCGTCAGTGTGATAATTTTAGTTCATCAGGATATAAAGGCAGAATAGGACAGGCAGAGGAAAAATCCATTTTGTGGATATTTTGGTCACATTAGAGGGGGTTATGCTTGAAAAGCCGCATACTTCATCGTGGATTTAATAAAAATTATACAAATTATTGTCATTAGATTTTAAATGCTTATTGATGTTATAAATTTTGGGGAAGGATGAAGCTTTTATTGATGGTAGAATAAGTAGGACTGTAATTTGAAAGTTCGTGAATGAAAGTTGGGGTGCAGGTGGATTGTAGAGGGTTAAGATAGTCGCTTTTAGTCTTAACGATGACAGTTTGCTCTGTGATTTTTGTTGGACCTTATATCAATATTTTTTGACAGGTGCAGAATTTTAGCAAGAATTTCTAGGGTTTAGTTTCAATTTTAATCACTTAATAAATTGTTTATGACCCAGAATATGAGTTTGTTAAGCTAGAACCAGAGCTCGAAATCGATAGGAATCAACTTGACTCAAGTTGATTTGACTTGACTCAAAACCAACTCATCGACTTCATTTTTTTTGGAGTCGACTTCGAACTCTGGCTAGAACCTTCAAGTTAGGATTTTTGTCACTAAGGTTGAAATAAAAAATTTGAATTTCTCTTTTTAGATTTTTTAAGAAGTTTTATGCTTCCCTAATGCGCCTTTCCTTTGTTTTGGAACTTGCTCTAGTCATCCTTCATTACCTCTCCCTTTCTACATTGTCCTCCCACCCATCCAACCCCCTTGACAACAAAAGCTATGACGTCACAACTGAAACACAATACTTTACAATGTTAATCTGAAGGAGCTTTCGCGCTTGTTACTGAAAAAAAAAAAACTTGACTGCATGCAAAAGTAAAAGCCACTTGAAAAACGAACTTTTTCGGAACCCAACGAACATTTTTGAACAATGTCATAAATCATTACTTTAGGTATTAAAGCTTACCAAACGTTTGATATATGAATATACATAAATTTTCCCCTCATTCAGTTCATGAAAAATCTTCAAGCACTTCCTGTTCGGAAAATTTATTTTCTTTTCTTGTCGGTTAATTTTTTTTTTGGGGGGTTCTTTTGTTTCTTTTGTAAAAGAGCTTACACATGGAAGAATTAGTCTATTAGTTTTATTAATTGATTTCTTTTCAGATATGAGAAAAGTTCTAGCTGGAATATGGAAGTTTGATTAAGGAGTTTCATAATTAATTTTTACATGAATTCTGATTTATGTGACATTTTTTAATGAATGGATTTTTGGGTGGGTTTTATGTTATTAAAATAATAAGGGTTCGTTCACTTATGACGTCCGATGTAAACGGTCATTTTTCAAAGAAGAACAAAGGAATTTCAGAAATTTTTATTGTTTTTTCTTGCCAAGCCCCCCCCCCCCCCCCTGGACGTCATAAGTGAACGGCCTCTAATGTGAGAGAGATTCAGCCATGCAATGTGTTTTTACAAGGGACGATGATCATGTCAGATTTCTGATGTCAAGATTTAGACTTTTTGGAATTTATGGGTGCAAAAGATGAGGGGTGGGAGGAAGAGGGGGTACAGAAGTTCAAAATATAGATTTGAGACATTAGTAAGAACAGTGATCGATTACTTTAACTTTAAAACCTGCATACAGAGGAGTGCATGGCCATAAATCAATTATCATCCACCCCTTTTCCCCCCTAAATTCAAAAACATCCATTCCATAAACTGTACTTACTCAAAAATGATTCATAAAACTAAATCAACAATCTACACAAAACATAAAGAAGACACATAAAAAAATTCATACAAGAAGTGAGACACATAAATATGAGCATTTCCTCGATAAAGTTTCCTAAATTAAATGTCAAAATTATAAAATTTACAAAATTACATTTTTGGTATTTTAAATTTCCTCCCTCTTTTATGAACAAAAACTCACTCATTGTACTTCCAATTAACTTTTTCTATTTCCTCCTTCCAGACATATTAGGACAGAAAAAAATAATATTTGTATAATATGCAAATGGCTTGGGGGTTGTTCATATGTTATGTAATGTTTTTTTGAGGACTAGGACAAGGAAGGGTGGCTGTTTGTGATTTTTTTAAACAATTGAAATGGTCAAAATACTTAGTTTTGGATGGAAATATTTTTGATAAAGGAGGTGGATTTAAATCAAAGCCAGCACCATGCCAGAGTCATGCCAGATTCCTATTCGATAAACCGACTTGTGCTCTTTGGAAAAGTCTAAAAAGATGACTTCTTAAAACTTGCTTAACCTTCCTAGCTTGGTAACACAGCCCAACTTACAGTCTAAAGCATCCTTATTCATACTATCTCTACTTACTATTATTACTTTTACATCTTTTTAATTCCTTTATCCTCCATCAGATTGAATGAATTCATCATGGCCGAGATAAAAATAAATCATAAGAGTAATAGACGCTTGCAAATTTTCCATGTATTTGCTTTTATTTCCCATTCATCCACAGGATAATAATAATAGTCATAATATGTATGTAGGTCCATAGAAAATTGCAAACGAATGATTATTTCTTCATTCTATTCTTCTCTTATTTTATTATCTTTACTCCTACTAGGCTAAACTTCTTCTTTATGTGTTTTTCCGCCCTTCCTTCGACATCAATAATCGCATTCGCAAATCTACTGCAATAATAATTGACTCAACATATATTCATGTGCTTGTGTATGTATGTTACTATGTCAGAATATAAAGCTCCGATTCACACCAATGTTAATCGATACAAAAAAAATTTTACCACCTACAACTACTCGTTCTTATGCTGAAATATGCATGCTTTATAGTTTTTTTGTGTTCATTGATTTTTATAAAATTTGTTTTTTTTTTTTATTTTTTGAATGTTTTACAAAGAAAATTTCAAACATGCAAGATTACATTTAAATTTTAGAGATATTTTATAGATATTTTGCACCGACTTACTTCTCTGGCCGTACAGATCAATTGTGATCCATGAGCTCCCTTAGATTACGCCTGAAGCTGGCTACCGCTTGCCAATTACCAATACCAAGTGTAATACTGTCTTCTCGTTAACAGCTTCTTTTCAAGAGTTCTTGGGACGTCTACGTGCTCTTTTGCCGTTTACAAAATCATACTGAAGAACTTTATTAATGGGAACTTTAACAGGTCTCCTAACAACATGATCCATCGAAGCCTGGCAACAAGGCTCAAACACACCAATTGAGTTCTCATCTACTTTAGTCATGTTCCAATTAAATTCAGAATTCGATATTAATAAATAAAAGCTGTTGAACTGTTCAAAATAATCAAAAGTGATGAAAATCTTTTAAAGCAACTATGTTTGAGCTGATCAACTACATAATACACATAATTATTCAGAGTAAACTTAAGTAGTGAAATAGCTCAAGTGGCTTAAGTGTTAGAGCGTTTGCGTTACGTGCCAAAGGTTCTGGGTTCAATCCCAGGTCAAGCCAAGTTTTCAAAGCTCTTTTTACATTCATCGTTCTGGTTCCGAAGCTTGGTTCATGTGTTGCATGTAGTTTTGAGGTCTATGACACATAGCGTGCCTCCTTTTCTAGGTTTACTAGGATAAACTAGCATCTGGATGATTTTCATTACGGAATCTTGTGTACATGAATCGATCTACTACGATTTACTAGTTATTGCAGGCTATATCAGGTCTTTAGACGAACTCATGTGTAATAGCTTCAGATTCCACTTTGAAGCTGTAGGTCTCAAAAGTGTGGTCCGATAGAATCTATATAAACTGTATCGCAGTGTTTCCAGCTCAACAGACTGGGCCCTTCCAGCGATTTATCTTTATTAGATAAATGATGCTGGTAAAATACATTAAATTAAATGAGACTTTTATCAACAATCACATATTTCCCACTGAAATCATTTAAATAAATATAATATAATCGAGTATATTCAGTTCATTTTAATATCAGCCTCGAAAGTGTCAAGTTCAGAAAGAAAGTAAAGTGATGATTAATAAATTGTAAGTTTATTTATATTGTGAGAACTTTTATTGTTATCTGGAATTTACTTGAGAATTTTTTATTATTTAATTTAAAGGTTCAGCATCTTATTCGTCATCTCTACAACTTTAAATCTTATTGAAGCATTTAAAAAATGTATCATTAGCGATGAAGATCCATCACTTTGTACAATAATTGGAGTCAGAGATCCCAATGAGATGTATGGATTAAATTTAATATCAAGTAAAGTACAGAACAGCAAAATCACTAAAATCAAATTTAATGATTCACGGATTTATCATCTTCCGAAAGAACTGTCTCTGATGTTCGAAAATCTTGAGGATCTTGATGCATCAAATGTTTATTTGTCTAGATTTACTTCTATGGATTTTCCATATAGAAACAAACTTAGAAAATTAAATGTTTCTAATAATGCAATTCACATATTGCCGAAGAGATTAACTGTAAAATTTGATTATTTGGAAGTTTTGGATATTTCATATAATCTCATCGATACTATTGAGAATGAATCATTCACCAACAAAGAACGTTTGAAATATTTAAATTTATCACATAACCAAATTAAAGTTCTTAACGTGGACTTTTTGAGTGCTGTAAGAAATGTAAGATCTTTAAATTTAGGCTGCAATGAAATTTCTGAAATCAATTTAGACTGTCAAGACATCGATTTTAAAGTTAAAGAGCTTTATTTGAACGACAACAAGCTCATGTCAATTCAAACTTGTTTGATAAAAAATGTTGCTTATTTTGATATTGGAAATAATAAGTTGATTGGAGAACTGGGTTTTTTAGACTCAAAGATTGAAAACCTCAATATTCAAGGAAATTCAATTGAGTCTTTGAATATAAGCAGAAAAGTTAAAGTTCTGGATTTCTCTAACAACATTGGGAAATCACTTAAAATCAATTTTGAAGAATTTTCATCACTAAAGACTCTAAAGGTGTCAAATTTGGACGTTACTGACTACAAAGATCTTTATCCACAGCTTAAAATGCTTAACAATCTTATAATCCTCGACATCTCGCACAATAATCTAAAAACTTTTAATTTTATGGACATTCCTGAGTCAATTGAATGCTTGAATTTAGAAAAATCAAATTTAAAGTTTTTAGAAAATTTCGATCTTTTGGATATTGTTGTCCCAAATCTCAACCAGATTAACATTAATCAAAATTTATTTAATTGCAAAGAACTTACCAAACTTGTTGAGAATTTCGAGAAATTCAACATAAATGTGACTGGATTCACAAATGAAAATAAGGACAAATTTATTCGAGAAAATTGTGGAAACGACGAAAACTATGACAAAAAGAGGACATGCAATGATGGGCTCTTAAGAGGTTCAGAATTTCTTCTTACTTTTATATTTATAATTTTGATAGGTTTAGTTTTGTTTCTGTATCATAAGTCTTTCATGCAAAGAAAATCATCTGCGAATTTTTTATTAAAAGAATTTTGAAATTTTCGATTTAAGCTTCACTTATGATGTTCGAAATTTACGGTCATTTTTCAAAAAAGAACAATAGATTTCCGGGAATTTCCATTGCTTTTTTTAAGTCATAGATGAACGCCCCCTTACAATTGCTATTGTTATTTTTTATGAATGATTGATAGACTTTTAAACAAAAAAACAATATCTAAGTCAATACTTAATTTGAAGCTGAGTCAGCATCACCTGGTTATGATTTTATAGGCTTGCTTTGACAGATTTTGTTAAGGATGTTCATAAAAAATGCCTGCAATTTTTTTATTTTGCTGTTAAAAGCTTTCAATTTATTTGTGACGAAAAATGCGTTGGAATTAAATTGACGTGAGCTCCTTGAATGCGAATCCTTGCAATTATGACAGCACTTCCTGCAGCACTTTAAATCACCGATGTTGCCAGGAATTAAATTTATTCTTATACATTTTGGACCAAAAAAAATTACGATTAATAACAGTTATTTTTTGAATTATGTGCATTCGAATATATGTGCGCACATTATATTCGAATATATTCGAATACGATTCTGCCCAACCCAAATTTTTGGTGAGGAGAGGGGCGGAGTAATTTTATCAATTATTAATGGGAATCAAACTCACTCCTTTGTAGACGAATGGATTACAAATTTAAAATCTGATGTCTATTCAAACAGCGACAAATGTTTGACAAATGTCTTACTAAAGCACTTAACGGTCCACCTACATTTTAATCAGATTCAACTAAGGTTGCGCAACTTCTAAAACTCATCAAAAACCATTATGATCAGTTACACTAGTGTTTCTCAAACTTTTTAGGGCCGAGGTGCAGCAAAAAAGCTGTAGAGCATCCGTTCATATATCTGCGCCATGTTTTCAACCATATTTGACTCATCTTGAAGTTTTTTTTGTGAAAATTTAAGGTCCATGAAGCATAGTTTGAGAAACACTGAGTTACACCCTTAAATTCCACTTTATTCATACACCATAGCAGTTTAACTGAAGAACTCATGGAATGGCTGTGTAAGCAACGATGCAAATATGCTAGAAATTAAAAAATTGCCAGAAGTTGTGTAAGGATAGAGTCAGCTTTAGACGAACTCTGAATGCGGCAATGGGCCCACGTGCGCCTTAGCCAAGGAAGTAAGTAAGTATAGCAGTTTATGGGGAGAGGGAGGCGATGTAAATTGAACTCCAAACATCCCAAACCAATATTAGAATCCAAACCTACCAAAAAAATCATTAGCCAAAACCCATAAATAAGACAACCCTATGTAAATTACTCCCAAAACTAATTAAACAAAATTCAAAACCATAACAAAAATTTAAATTCAAAATATTCGAATGTTTAGCTAGGCATCAGCAATCACTGCATTGCATAATTATTTGTTATGATGATGCATATTCTGGTGTATGTTTATGTTGTATTATTTTTTACGATTTTCGGCAATTATCGATAAATGCTCGGTGAAGCATATTGTGAGTTGTGATGAATTAGTTATTGATAAAATAATAATATTAATAATTTCAACACATAAAAAATAACAGCGATTTTGTGCTCCTCAAGCATAAATTACGCGAAAATATATATATCTGCCTATGAATATGTTTAAATGTATGAATAAATGAGAATTGTGCATTAAAATGAAAAAGAAATCGAAATCAGGACAAATAGAACATCGAGAACCAAAGTTTTGACTGAAGGTGGATTAATGGGCACTTTGGTGGTATGATGAGTGTTGGAAATATTAGGTCAATGGACAATTTAGTATGCCAAGCTTGACTACATTTATTAACTAGCTTTGGATAACTAGATTTGGTTGACTAGCTTGGTAGACTAGCTTGGTAGACTAGCTTGGTAGACTAGCTTGGTAGACTAGCTTGGTAGACTAGCTTGGTAGGCTAGCTTGGTAAAAATCATGGAGATTGCCCAGCCTTTTTGAGCTGGAGGCACTGCGATTCAAATTAAAACAGAATCTATTGTACCACACCCTTAAGACTTACAGTTTATAGTGGGATACGAACCACTTGCAAACTATGAACATAGCAAAGACACGAGTACTTCCAAAGACCTGATGTACCCTCCAATGGCCCTAGTCACAATTTGTGTGAGCAAGATGTTATAATGAAATCTTCCAGATGCTAGTATATCCCTAGAAAAGAGGCACATTATGTGTCGAAGACTTCAAAACTACACCCAACACACGAACCGAGCTTCGTAACTAGAATGGTGAAATGGAAAAATAGCTTTTAAAACTTGACTTGGCCTGGGATTGAACCTAGAACCTTTAGCACGTAAGGCCAACGCTCTACCACTTAGACCACTAATGCCATTTCGCCACTTTAGTTTGCTTAACTAGCTTGCAAGATATATAGATATGCTCATACAAAAATATCGCAGTTTTTAAACGTCAAAAATTTGAATTTTCTAAAAACACTAACACTATAAAAGAAAATTTTCAATTTTTGTTTTGCAAAATTTTCAACTTTCTGTTAAGTTTTGTTGATACAGGAGTATTGCAAATGCTTTGCTATAATTTAAAAAAACTGACTTAAGACAAATGTTGTTGCATCTGTCGATATTTAAATGAAAACTTGAAAATAGAAAATTTTAAAAATTTTTGTTTGTATAAGTACACAAAAACTTGTATGGTCGAGTATGGTCAAGTATACTTTGTATGAGCTCATCTATATATCTTGCTAGCTTGGTAAATCTTAATAATGATATGCGCTTTTGTAATACTTTACGAACCATTTTAGTACTTTTCTGTATATGTGATAATAAATTGTATTTTTGTGTATGAAATACCATAAAAAGCATTAAATCGTAAAGCATACAGTTCTCATTCAATACGTCGACTATTTATTTATGTGAGAGGAGTAATTGTTTGGAAAATTAAATATTACATGATTTTGCCATTCTTCCTTTAGTTTTTCATTCTTTTCTGTCTCTTTATCTCCATTTTCCTTTCTCGTCAATAAATATTTCATTAATGTAATTTTGTCTGTTAAATACCCATGAGAAAAATGGGTTGAAATAAATTATTTTACATCATTATGAGCAAAAACACTGGACAATGAATGGATATTCCATTCAATATGTAAAATGAGGTTTGTTGTTCCCGAAAAAATGTGCATAATGAGCACGAAAAATTAATAATTTTTTATTTTTGCATGCTGTTGAAATTTGATTTTGATTTAAAATTAATAAATTTTGAATTGTTGTTCTCGAGTTTACGGATCAAATTGATTGTTGAATAAATGGGAAGTAATTAAATTAATTTTTTGTTTGCGTATTTTTCAACTGAATATTTGCTGAGTGTATATTTGCTTGAAATTATCCAGATTGGTTTTTGTGTGTTTATTGGAGAGATCTTTGAATTTAATTCGTGAATTTTGGGACCAACACATAACTCATTAAGCCTTAGTTGTTCTTTGTTTTTGATGCATCTTTTGAGCTGCTGAGCTCCTGTTTTGTAGGTGTCTCTAGAAAATTGTTACAGTCTTGTGCTTTCATCTGAAGTAGTGGGGAGGGGTGAACTTTTAATCATGTCTCACCTGGATATGCTGGAAAATTAGTCATCATTTTGTTATCTGCTTATTGAGGTACACTCCATTGGTCAGTTTCTAGTCTACTCAGGGCATCCTAAGGCATAAATGAAATTCGATGTACTTTAGCATGGGATCTAATTAAAATAAATCTGAGACTGGGGAAGGGTCACTTGCAGAACTTGCAAGTTTTTCGGATGCAACTATAAACTGTAGGGACATGTTTACAGTAAGTAAGTAAGTATAAACTGTAGGTCTAAAGAGTATGATACAATAGATTACTTACAAATTGAATAGTAGTGCCTCCAGCTGAAAGGATGGTTCCTTCACACATTATTATTATTATTATTAGGGTAGACTGCTTTGGGTAGCCCGGCCCCTGATGAATCAAATATTATATCCTGATTTGAATAATAATAATAATAATCCTTTTATTAAGTTAAATGAAATCAAGGCGGAACATATTGAAAGTAGATTGATATTAATCCTGATTTGAATGTCCAAATGGATTGATTCATTAAAAATCATTCAAATTGAAGTAATTTTATTTTCATCTTTCATTCAGCGAAAGAGTTGACTTTATTGACTTAGTCCCGGATTCAAAATCTATCTTGCATTGTGTTTTGCGAAATTCCTGTGCCTTTGCAGATTTTGTGTCGATTCGAATTGTTCATTTAATTTAAAAACCTACCATAATAATGTATGAAGCTCATATCACTCCTAAAATTATTCAAATTTTTCTAAAATTCCATTAATTTAAATTCAACAAGGTTTATAATTTTTTTTAAATTTTTATTCTTTATTAACAGAAACTCTTAAGAGATATCAAACATAGAAACAAAAATTGATGTAAAACTTCAAGGCTCATTCTCTTTTCTCAACATTTCCTCATTTAAAAATCTTTTCTCGTCCAAGAAAACATTTCCTTACCACAAGAAAAAGGACAAAAAAGAAGATTTAAGTCATGAGTCATGTAAACGAAAAAAAAACAAATGAATTATCTAAAGTGCTAATGTAGCTTTAAATTTGTGCGTGTTTGTGTATATTTTGTATCAGGCAAGGGTTCCTTAACATCATATTAAATTAATTTGAATATTATTATGTACGTTCTCTTGATGACGCTTTAGGTCAACTTTCCTCTGAAAGCTCTTATCACAATGTAGGCATATAAATGGCTTGAAATCAAAATGTTTCCTTTGGTGCGTAATTCTATTTTTATAAGAAAAATCTGTTAATTTATTGTTCAAAAAATTATTTTTTTCTTGTAAGGAGGCAGAAAAATGTTTCTTTTTTTTTCTTGCCTCATTTGCATATAAAATACTTACAAATTAGAGCTTTGCGAGAAGCATTTTAAACACTGCGTACACTGATATGGTTTCTCTCCTAAGTATTATGAGAATATACATATATGTAAGATATTATTAGCATTCATTCAATGTAAAAAATTTAATTTTTCTTCCTTCCTTTTTCTTTCTCGTTTTTGTTCATGCTTTGGGCATTTGAGGTTGAGTATTCAGACTGTCAAATCTAGGGGATTTTCAGAAATATTTTAAAGGGAGGAGGATGAATTTTTGCCAATAGTTTAGCAATGGAAGCAATCCTTCCCCAACCTGCTTTGAAAATTGAATTTCCTAGAAATTTGAGCTTTTTTCAATCCTTTAAGTTGTAACTTATTGCTTGTCTCTGAATCCACAGATTTTATAAAAGAAGGGAAGTTGATTCGATTTATCAAGGCTTTGCAGGTCAATTCCTAGATTGAAGTAATTTTTTGTGAGGTTTCTTAAGCAGCAATGACCCGGGTGGCACAAGTCGCTTAATCGATTAGAAATTTGGCACGAAACCGGTAGGTCTCTCGCATGGTTCTGGATTTAAATCAAAGCCAGCACCATACCAGCACCATGCCAGACTCATGCCAGATTTTTGTTCGATTTACCGACTTGTGCTATTCGGGTGAGATTCAAGCAGACTTTGTTACTAAACTTACTCATTAAAATTGCTGCAAACTTGGGATCTGATGAAGGCTAATCGTGGCATCTTGGGACTAAGCCAAGAGACATTTACGCTGATGATGGTGGCTTCATGGTATCCAATAGGATGGATAAGTTTAAGGATTGGATAATAAGATTCAATTTAAATCAATTGATAATAAGATTAAATTTGAATCTTATTACTTAAATATACTTAGCCATAGCTCATGTAAAGCAGAATTAACAATGTAACAGAATCAGGCTAAACATTTAAGACAGAGTTGCCTGTGTGTAGACTACCATCACAGCCTCAATACGATTGTCGATTTTCTATAAAAAAATCTATAGATTTGATCAAAGCCGGTTTCTAGGGATTACCTAGTTTTCTTAAAAACGTTATTAAGAACCAAGGTTGCGGAAGTAATGACATAATCTAAAATGATCAAAATTGATCAAAATGTAACTTATTAGTTCCGCACCCTTGCTAAGAACCTCAGATATCTTCAAAAACTGACCACAGATCCATCTGAACCTATTCTCAGCACATCATCAACCAAAACCTCAAATGTCCAAAGCATGTCTCAACATACAAAATATATAATAAATGTGGATACATACCAGTATGAGTATATGTGTGCTTTTTCATATCTGACTTCTGGTGAAATCTTTTACCACAATGGTTGAAAGGACACTCGAAAGGACGAACGTTACTAAAAAGATATACATACAGACACAAAACATTATTATATAAAATGATATGATATATCTACGTACATGTAAATATTTGAAGTTTGTTTGCAAAATTCAAACAAAAGGGAAAAAAAAGGATGAGGGAATGCAGTGTAAATACCTGTGAATCATCATATGTGTAGATAATGTTGATGCTCTCTTGAACTCTTTTCCACATTGGGGACACTATAAATGAGAGAAAAACAAGGAAAGAACTTATAATGATATCAGCATAAATCATCATGACATTAGCGCATTCTTTCTCTTAAAGTGTGGCTTTCTAGACATTTTTTTGAGGATGATGTTGCTCCTTCCGCAAATTTTATTATTTTAATATTTTAATGCTCAATTGAAGGACGTTTTTCGTATGTCTTCTTGTATCCTCTACACGCAGCAACAACGGAGAATTATGTGGGTTTATTTTATTATTTAGGATGTTGAGCAATTCAACTGTTCATAGTTCTGATTGGAATTATGCTTGAATATTCCGGAAGTATTTGGGACGGGGGAGCTTAGATTTATTATTGTTTCAAAATTGACGTTATATTTTTTTTTGTGATGTTGTGCTAAAGTTTTAAATATTTGAAGGATTTAGAAGTAATTTAAGAATTTATAAAGTCAGGGGGCAACAAAGCCAAACATTTTTAAGGGGTGGGGTTTGCATTTTTCGGAAAAATTTTGGGGAGGTTGCGTTTTTTTCAAAAAACACTAGAAACTTGAAGAATTTTTTTTAAAAAGGAGGGAGGAGGGGGGGGGGGGGGTGAACTTAAAACTCCGGGAAAATTTTGGGAGGGTTGGGAATTTTTCTCAAAAAAGAAGAAACTTGTAGAATTTTTTAAAAAAAGTGAGGGGTAAGGAGGAGGGTTTACCCTAAAACCCCAAAAGCTATTAGAATTAATTTTAAAATTTAATCTTTTTGAGCTGGAGGCACTGCGAATGTAGAATCTTTTATTTAAACCTACTGTTTAAAATGGAATCCGTCCCATTTGCAACACTGTAAGTCTAACATCCTGTGAAAAATAACAAGTAATACAAAAGTGACAAAGTTTCTTTATTGACGTCATTTATAAGTAGCCCCTGAAGAATCCCCATATCAAAAATTCTATTACCAACCAGCATTAGTCCACAAAATTTTAAATTTACTTATAAAGAACAACTCGAGTGTCAAAACTACCTTCCAAGAAATTAAGGGGTTAGTTATTTAAGGAAATTAAATTCTGATTATTATACATGCGGAAATTCATTCATTTAAAATTTTCTTTAGACTTGAAAAACTATTCAAATAATTTAAGGACGACCTCTGTAGCACAACAAGAAAGGATATAACATTTTTGTGTGTGACACATGAAGTGAAACTGATGATTTTGGGTGTAATTTAGTTAAAATTAAAATGTTTTGAAGCATGCAGCACAGACAATATGAGTTTAAGTTCCCATAAGCAATGCTAATTCCAACAAAGGAAGTGGAAAAAATTGTAAATTAATTAAATTAAAGTGATATGTCATTGGTTGGAACTTCACCCCGTACGTAACTTGCGGCAATTTAATTCATTTAAGGATGATGATGATGATCAGAGATAAAAAAATCATGAATCGCTATTAGCAGTGCTGTAATGTGCTTGAAGAGGTTACACAGATCGTGAATATTTAAAGAGTTCGAGATTGTCAGCTATTGTATTGATTTTCCATAAAGCTTTACATGTAGACATTTACATGCACAGCTATTCGGTTATGGTAAAGTATTAACTCATTAATTAATTAATTAATTAATTTGAGTTAGATTTAATCTGTACGGTATCGTGCATTCCTGTTTTAATTATTAAATCACATGATTGATTTTTTTTTCATATTTTTCTTTTTCAATTAATAATATTATGTATACATAATATGTGGTGCTGTAATTGCCATTCAATTACCGATATGCCATTTTGTTAATATAATATATAAAATCATGTTGTAATTTAAGAATAAATGTCTATTAACAAAATTAATGGATTGAAATAATTAAGAAGGATATAGACTTAAATGGAATTGGATGTATGGCTTGATTTCGTTAGCTTTTTAGCACAGTGAGAACTTTTTTTGGGAGATTTGAAGAAACTGAAGAACTAGAACTAAGTTTTCATCTTTTTTCGAAAATTCTGATTAGGAGTTCTTCATAAATGAAAAAAAATTTATGGAAAATTCAGAGGGGTGGGGGGATTTTTATGATTATTTAATAAAAATACTAGCAAAATGAAGAAATTTCTGTTAACGTCGTGAGATTTGTCTCCCTCTAAAAAATCTGTAAAATCATCGATTTAAATAATTTTAATAATTTTACTCTTATTCCACTCAAATGTTCAGTATATTAAATATTTTGCATCACAATAAAGCTGATATTTGTTCATAAAAAATTGTATCTGTTTTAAAAAAAGTTTCAGATACATTAAAATTGTCGATTCATTATTGATTTTGATTCGATTTCAAATTAAAAACACATTTTAAGAAGTAAACTTCTGAATATTTTCACAATCATCAGCTTACTACACATATTGAATTTTTTATGTACTGAAAATAAGGCAAAGTTTCTTTTTTAAGTTTTTATGAGAGTAAGAAATGCCCCCATCTTAAAGTGACGGAAAGGTAAATTATATAAAAAGCTACCAAAATTAACACTTGTCAAAGCTATAAAAATTTTCATCATTTTAATGTACCGACTTTTTCGTACAAAAAGTTATTTATAGTATGTAATTAAACAAATAATTTGTAAGCAGTTCAATATTATGAACCAAGACACAGACTGGGAGGGGGGAGGAGGTGGGCGGTGTTAATCAGGAGCTTAACCAGAATGTTTTTGTACAAAGGAAACGTTTTTTGGAGCTTTCTCAAAAATCCACAAAGGATGTTAATAAATGACGTTTTTTAAGACCCCCCCCCCCCCCCCCTCACCCCTCGCATGACAAAATTTAGATTTCAAAAAATTTCCTTTGTTTCCAATTTTAATAAATTTTAAACCTTGTCTATCAATCTTGGTTATTGGAGAGGGATCTGGAATAGCACATGTCAGTTTATCAAATAGAAACTCGGCTTCAAGCCGATATGACTCTGGCATAGTGCTGGATTTTAAATCGAAGCCAGCGCTATGCCAGAGTTTTACCAGCTTGCCATTCGGGGATTGATTGTGCTCTATGAAACCTCTCAGTCATATCATTTATTGATTCTCCAAACCAGAGTTGCAATGTAACATTTGCCTGTCAGCAAGCACTGCCTGTAACAGGCAGTCACATATCACCAATAAATCACCAGTGCCTGTTGACAGCCAACTTGTCTCGCAACTTTCCTTCAAACCTTTCATATTTTAAATGTATCAAATTTCTAAACATCATAAGTGAATGACCCCAAATTTGTTGACGTAAATTACACACTGCAGGTGATAAAGACATCCATATTGAAATATTTGCAGAGTAAAATACTGTTTAGAGACTTGAATAAATTTCTTAATTCCCTAGAGTTCGAAATATCACAACTCATATGCTAATATATCACATTAATTTTATAGAACATTTCATTCAACCTGCACATACGAACAACAAACAATTGAGAGTGCCTGTTTTAATAGCATTTCATAATGAACAGTGTACTAATGTCGAGAAAATCATGGAATTTCAGACACTCATCATCATCATCATCATCTCATTTTACATAGAGACGTGTATTGTTGAAATCTTTCTTGACATACCTTCACTTGTGTCAACAACAATTAATCAATGTTTTGTTCTCTTTTAAGTATTTATACGACGATGATGAAAAGCAAAAGAGAGAAAAAAAAATTGAAATCAAGAAACTGCTATTGCTACTGTATCAGCCTTTGTCATATTTGAAGTATTATTATTTTTATGATAATTGTAACAATTGTATGCAGTTGAATGAAGTTGACTTTTGAAAGAAATTAAGTCACTCGAAACGGAACAATGATGATAAGTTGTGATTAAAATCCAGTTCATACCTTGCGAATCTTTTCGTCAGATTTTTTAAGATTTTCTAAGATTTTGCAAGTTCAACCTTTTCCAAATAAATTCCTAAGCCCACCCAATATCTTCAAAATCTTAAAAAAAAGCCACACGAAACATCCGCAATTTTTAATCAAAACTTACCGGGAATATTTTTGTCGGATCATTTAACTCTGCATCCTTTTTAATCTTCTTTGCTTCTGATTGTTGCTGGAGGTTAGTGTATTTTGCAATGTCATCAGCTAGTTGTGCTGATTCTTGCTCTAAGCTTCTTGCGGGGCTCCATATCTTTGGATCTCCACTCGAGAGGTTTATTGGGAATGTTGGGGTATTTGATAGGGCTAGAAATAAAAGGAAAGAAGGATATGAAGCATGACATACATAAGCTGTCCAACTGCACACTTTTGAGTTTGACAATCCCAGTATTTTTGAACAAAGTCCCGTATTAAATCTTTTATGTTGCGATTTTTTTGAAGCTATTTTTCTAGGAAAATGCTTGAAGATTTGGTCTGTCCAGCTTTTGTAGAGCTGAAATCAGGTCATGTCACGCTTTTTGACGAAAAATCAGTAAAAATCGATGGACTACTTAGGCATATACAGAAAATAACAGAAACATTCGTAGCAGTCAGTTCAAATGTCATTTTTAAGATAAATTAAAGCAAATTTAATTTTTTTTTGTAATTATAAAAATTATGGACATTCTGTTTTATGGTTAAGATTGTTGTCAGCCAATGTAAAATTGAAATTAATTTATTTCAAAATCAAATAAGGTATTTTCAGAAATCCAAATAAAAAATTCCACCCTTAAAATTTCCAATCAAAAGTCTCACCTCCATTAATAGCCCCCATCCTCACACCATTCTCTCCATTCAAAGCCTGTGCTGACATGAGCGCAGACAATGTAATTAAAAATTGTGACCAGATCAGATGATTCACTTCCACCGGAGCCTGTGAATCTGCATGAAATTAAATTCACTGATTTTAAATCTCTTTAAGCACAACGAAAAATTAACGATTCACAGAAAACTTACTCATCCCACTTTCGAGAAAATTCAATAAAATCTGATAATAATGTGATATTAAATTATAATTCGTGTCAGATTGATTCGTTTCATCAGACGATTGATCACTAGAATTGCACATTTCAATTTCATTATCCATTTTTTAATTGTTACTTTAAAGTTCCACTTATTGGATAAATCAACCACAGCTACTTGACACTAACGCAACCTGAACAGAACTGATTAAAAACTATTACGATTTTCCAAAAGATGCCACACGACGATATGATACAGTTTAGTGTCATTGGTGAGTGGTGAGGTAATTTTAATAATTTTTTTAATGGAATACGACTCACATATATTCGACAACGAGTGACTTAAATCATTCAGTTATTTGTATTCCCCCAAGTGTGTTCATAGATATGAGAGCCGTTTGGATTGGTTGGATTTTTATTTTATTCCATTTGCTTTGTGTTTCCATATTACATTCTCTTGGCTTTTTTTTGTGTTCTGCGGATTCATATTTAAGTGTTGTGATGAGTGTTTTGATTAATTATCGCTGATAAAATGTTAAAAGATTGAATTATTAGTAATTATGCAAATGTAGGCGATGGAGTGGTGTTGGAGATTTCATTGAGAATTGAGGGTTGAGATACCTTTCTCCTTGAGGGCTCTGGTGTGATTTCTGATGTATGATTGAATAGTTCTGGGTTAGGATACATTTTGGAGAGGCTGATGAGCCTAGATGCATATTAATGTGGTTGAATCAGGTGCGTACCCAGGGGGGGGGGGGGGGGCAAATCCCCCTTCGTATTGAGAAATTTCTTCGTTTTGCTAGAGTTTTTATGAAAAACTCGAAAACTTCCCCCCCCCCCCCACCCCACTCTCCCCCTAAAAGTTTTCCAAACAAAAAAATTGCCCCCCCCCCCTTTTAAAATTCCTGGCTACGCCCCTGGGGTGAATTAGATTGAGTCTAGCTTAAGGAACTCTTAAATGACCAATTAGTCATAATATAACCTTAAAAAATTTAAACTAGACCCTCAACAAAAAGACCCTCAAAAAGCATAAGTTCTACCACTTATAGTGCACCCTTAACTACACCCCAATGTAAAACCGTGTAATTTATTGCCACACTGCAATTATTAATAAATGGAGAAAGTTTCGAATGCGAAAAAAGGAAAATAAAGAAATTTATTGTTAAATCTGATTCTGATATCCAACACAATTATGTACACAATTGTTATTCCTACAAATAACAACAATCCAAACTCAATATTTAAACTTTTAATTGTCTTGTAAACACAAGACATTGTAAAATATCCTATTCTAAAATCCCATAATACACATTTCATTCATGAATTATTTATGAGGAACTAAGTAAAGTTGATTGCAATCTACTTGACTTATAACTTCATTAAATAGTTAACTTTTCTCCTATAGTTTATGCAATTGTTATAACTTGAATATGATTGGTTGCGATACGAAAATATACAAGAGAATAAACATGCTGGAGCTGGAGCAGTTGTGCAAATAGAGTTTTCTGTTTTTAATTGAAGATTTTTTTTTGGTTCAGTAAATTTTTGTACACAATGAATCACTTTAAAATTCATTTTAAAATTACAAATTTGAAAAGTTTTTTTAAATGAATTAAAATTAAAATTTGATTTTGATTTTTTTGGAGATTTTTTTATTAAAATGAATTTACAGTTTCATATTGAAATGTAAAGAATTTGCGACAAAAATTGAAAATTAATTATTTAAAAATATATTAAGACCAACAGAAAGTTATATGATAGCCAATATTGTTTGCAGTTAAATTTGGTGTGCATTTTATATGGCGGCAATTATTGTGCGTAGTGTTTTTTATATGGCGGCAAATTTTGTGCAAAGTTTATATGGCGAAATGTTTTGTGCGCAGTTTATATAGCAGCAATTATTGTGCGCAGTTATATGGCGGCAATTATTGTGCGTAGTAATTTTTATATGGCAGCACATTCTGTGCGCAGTTTTTATTGTGCGCAGTTCTTTTTATATGGCACAGTATAATATTTTTAAATGAGTTCAAAATGGTATGAGTTTCTCCCAAAAATACGAATATATTTTTTTTGATAATCTAAAATGCTCAAAATATCTGAAACTTGTATAGATTAATCTGAAGCATATCAAATTAAAAATCATGTTAATTCAATTTAAAAGCAAACCCTTATCAATTGTCTCACATGCCTTACATCACTCTCAGTTAACATCAACCACCCATAACTCATTAAGCAAATAACATCTGCACCATCTCAAAAACTATCATCACTAAACTGAAACTTCCATTAAAAAGACACAAGTAAAAATTGAAACAAATTCTGTTAGTAGAAAAAAAGTTACTATTTCTTTATTATTATTATTTTATATCAGTTACAATAATCATTCATTAACTATAGATTAAAAAAAATGTGAATTGTTAATGTAATTAATCAATAAGGAACATTTGAAATCAAGTCAAAAAGTCATCAGAATCAAATATTTATTTGATGACTTTACAAAAAGTTTTCAAGGTAAAAATGGAAAATTGAACATAAAAATTGATTTGTTAAGTCAATATGAAGCCACCACCAAAAGGGGAAAAATATTCATTAAAAATGACCAGAGACGGCACATTAAAATGCGCTGTTGAGTATTATTATTGTCTTATGAATAACTTTTTTTTTTGTGTGTAAGGAGAAATTTTCATTTTATGATTATGATTTATCACAGAAAAGTTAGAAAAAAATACTTTAAAAGTGAAATAAAATTGAGAGATTTCTGTGTGTTGAGACTGTCATTATTGGGGGTTGTTCGTGGGTGATATCTAATATTTATAGAATGATGGGAAGGAAAGGAATCCAGAATTATTTGACAACTTATGAACAAATGCAAAGGGGGGGGGGGGGTATGGAGGGGGTCTAGAAACCAAAGGAAGTCTAGAAACTAGAGAGAGTGGGTCAAGAAACCAATGATGGTGAAGCAACCAAAGGAAAAAACTAGAAACCACAAGATTTCTAGAAAACAGAGTGGATCTAGAAACTAGTTCCAGGTATAAAACCCCTTTAATCATTTCTATGACCAGAATTCTAAAATTCATTTCTCCATTAACATCACTTACGAACAGCCCCACTACTACTATTATTCCTATTATTCTCACATCGATTAGTAAGTACAATATTTATTATCATAAATTATAGTCGAATGCTATTTTTTAAAATTTATAATTTTCTTCTCTAATTAAAAACTTGGCACAAAGAATTAATTGTTGTTAAGCTTTAAAAATATTTATTTTATCAAAAAAAAAAAAATGTATAAAATTCGATGACTTGATCACTAGTTTTGCTTATACCATGAAATATTATCACCAGATTGATATTTCATTGTTCTCTGCTCTGAATATTGCGACTCAGATGTAACAATGCGTTGAGCGCTTCCGCTTACCGTTGACGATGTCGTTTGTCGAGGTTGGAAAGTAGTCTATAGATTGTGGGAAAACATTTATGAGTTTTTATTGTTTACAGGCTACATTCAATGTAAATATTTGATGACGGAAACTCACCAAAATTCTTTGACTACGTTGCATTTGTGGACTGGCATCTGGTGACTCGATTGGTGCTATCCATTGCTCGATAAATTCACTCTCGGAACGTGCTAGCGATGGATGACTTACTGACCTGTGCAGTGAACGATGGTCACTGTAGCGATCATCATCGTAGTATCTGGAAATTGTTTATTTTTATGAGTGAGTATAAAAAGTAAGTGAATTGATAAAGCTGTAAATTTTTGATTGCAGGGGGACACAGATTTATGTTTGTTGGAGGGAAATTCAAAGTAATCCTCGACATCAAAGATGTAAGGTAATATTTTTGAATTTTAAGGATAAAATGCAGTGGTTCTCAACTAATGAGCCACGGAACATAGTTCAAGATTCCCTGGCAAAGTTCTTAGAAAACACAACAAAACAAATACATACCTAGGCTGGTAAGAGCTACCCTCCGACATCTTATCAAGATATGACTCAGGTCGTGCAAAGTCAACCGTCGTTTCAGTCATTGAACGAATATCAACAAAATCAGAGCCTGACCTCGATGAGCGTGATGTGCGACGAGATCTCGGCATATAAACATGTGAAGGTCCAGGTTGTGGCTGTGAAATGATGTAATCATTTCTAATTGTACGTACAGATGAACCACCATCAGAATCATATTCATAGAGTGTCGGTAGAGAGCTTCTACGTGAACGTGTATCCCATGGCTGTTTCGTTGATTTTGATCCTTTTGGATGTCTCAATTTAACATCTTCTTCCAATGGCGGTGCCAAAATTCTTATAATAACATCCCATGATTGTGGCTCGAAAATACGCTCATAACGTACATCTCGAGAAATTCTCTCAAAATCTTCTCTAACAATGGCTTCTGTCAACATTCTCCTCAATGTTGATTCAGTTGTAATAATTTCCTTCCACTTCAATTTATCTTCGTAGCTCAATTGTCGTTCCAAAATATTCGTTGATGTTTCATAACGATTTGTACGTGTTACTGGCTCAATATCCGGTTCCTCAAGTACTCTTATAAGTACATCCCAATTTGGAACGGCTTTGTCTTCCTCTGGCATTTCAATTGGCTTCATATTACCAACCATTTCGGGACTTCTTAAGTGTTCACCTGATGGACTTATATATGTTGGTGGTGGGACATTCATTGGAGCTCGCTCAATACGTGGACCAACACCAGATGCACTTGAGATGTCTGAGAAGTCTTCCCATTGTGGACCTGTTGCATTAAGTGGATGATTACGTATGTGAACATCAAATGTTGGATCATGAATGATTGGTCGAATCTTATATTCAGTAACCATACGCTTCTGCTTCTCAATATCCTCAATTGTTCTCTTTTCAGTAATTGTACGTAAGAAGACATCATCGACAACATGTGATGTAATTTCTGGCTTACGAACAACTTGTATTGGTGCTTCCAAACTGTCGATTTCCATTGTTGTTGTGTATGTTGGATGACCTTCGTCGACAGTTTGTGTAACGGTGTGGGTTTCAATTTCTTCAATTGTTGTTATTGGTGGTCCATCAGCTAAATCATCAGGCCAGTGAGGTTGCTATAACATTAAAAATGAAAATTAATACAGGAACATGATACATTGTCAATAATACTTGATACTTACATATTTCCTAACATTCTTATTGAGCGTTGAATACACAGTTGGCGGTGCAATATATTTAGGTGCTGGATGCAATTCGGGCATGTATGTGAACTGTGTTTGAACATTTTCATGTGGCAGTGATTCAATTGTTAAAATGCTTTCACGGTCCTCATGAGACTCCATGATTGTCGATAAATTATTTCGATCGTTTCTACTTACGGCACTCTCAGTATCAGATGATGATGAAATTGAAGGTGGTGGAGGTGGAGGTTTTTTGACACGAACTTGAACATCAAATTGTGGCGATGGTGCTTTAGCGACGGCAACAGCTTGAATCTCTTGTACGTATCCAAGGTTTTCGCTGTATACACTTGATGCTTCCTGAAAATAAGCATGATTTTCGTAACTACTGACGGAACTGTGTGGAAGCGAGCGTATATCAACTTCAATCTCGGAGTGTGATTCGCTTGGGTAGTCGGATGGCAGTGTATCACTGGAACTTTGAGGTATTGCAACAGCTTCAAGTGTAGCACGTGGTATCTTCAGGCTCTCTTCTAACACGGATATGTTACCCAAGCTACTTCCACTAAGTTTTGTAATTTCAGATCCACTTCCAGCCATGTACAAAGGCAGTCTTCGAACGACAGGAATTGTTCTATTTTTAAGGCAGTAATAGGACACTCCGAGACCCAAAAGAAGAAGAGTCAAAAACATAAGGGCACACACAATAAAGAGAATTTGGGGACCTTTCAATGCACTTGTTACGAGATCTTGTCGTAGGTTAGGCCTGTAAAAGAACATTTTCATTGTTTCATGAAAGTGTTAAGAAATGATGTTAGGGTCATGTTAATATGGATTAGATTCATGAGATGATATAGATTAGTAATATTTACACTGGTGGACTTGGTGGCAGCACTGGAGGCAATGGAGCGATCGGTGGTGGATAACGGCACACAATTGTGATAATCTCATCTCCGTCCATTTCCAAATTTGGATGGAATCGAACAACAATGTTGTTTGTGAATACACGCTGAGGATCCTGTTTGGTTCCACATCCCTTCAATGGCAATTCTATGTGATAACTCATGTCACCATGGCCGATGATTTGACAGGCGCTGTTACGATCAAAATCTGCGTAGGCAACTCCGTAAAATTTTTCATTGAATTTTAAATCCACCTATGGTCGGCAAATGTAGTCGTGCATATTTCATTGTATACGTGAGAATGGAAGAGAGATGAAAAAAAGACAAGATTTCAAGCTTTAGTTATGTTTGTTGCAAAAAAAAAATAAATAAATCCGCTTAGTTGTTACACCTCCACAGTACCGCTTTTGTTGGTGTGTTAAAATGTAACATGACCTCGGGATTAACGAACAGCTACAACAGATTTTTCTCTTAGTTTTTTTTATTGTCATACTCACTTGCATAGAACCAGCAGCACAATTTAAAGCAGCTTTTGTTCGATTGAGGAAAATTATTGGGCTTATGTCGTCTAATTTCGTTACCTAAGATGTACAGGAAGAGAAGAATTGAAAAGTGTTGAAGATTTGCTTTAATGTTGACAAGGGGTGGACACTTTTTGGGAGTTTTTTTTATTTTTGGTGGGAACTTTGGTTGCTTTTGGCTTCATAACCTCAAAAATCTAGCAATTTAAGGCAAGGTATGTGGAATACCCAGAAAATCCATTAAAGTATGTTTCCATCAAAATTCATCAATGATACCCAAAAACTCCAAAAGTTACCACCCACTGAACTCCACAAAACAGCCAATTCCTTTAATTTCGCACAACTGCCCACATATGTCATGTGAGTGTGTAAAACATGTCGAGGAAATTGACAATTTAATGTATATAAGAGAGTTCAATGTCCACAAAACGAGAAGTCACTTACTTTTCCATCTAGAACTGTCTCCTCAGGCAATCCCTCGCCAATGTAATTTATATTATTGGCATGTGATGCATAATTCGATTGGCCGCTTACATGATGAAAGATTAATACGAGGAAGGTAAGTATTTGTGTGTGTAGTAACATCTTTTTTTGTCTCCTGACAATTTGTCAGCAATTATTTTATTGTCTTCTGTAAAATGAACAACATACAATAAATTAGTATTTTGAAAATTTATAGAGCAATTTTTGAACATAAACAATTTTTTTTCTAGAGCATCTAGCAATAACAAGAAAATGAAGAGAGATGAACAAGTAATAATGAATGGGAATGACTTCCAGTAGCGCATGTTTTATCTTTAATAAGGGATTAAGTGGCTTAATAGCTCAACACGAATCCATCAATCATGTTGAATTGATTTTAATGAATATTTTCTTATTTATTATAGGATCACATTACGTGTATCTACATTGAGTGTTGGGGTCGTTCACTTTATCGAATATTAATTCAATTATCGAATATATAAGAACTTGATGATGATGATGATGTCCTTTTACTCCACTGTGAAGTGTAAAGTGTTTAAGAAACTATTGAATGTAACGCGATTGCAAGCTATTGCCACAAGCTCACTGAGTTGATAGCCCTTCTGAGCCACTTCTTTATGAATAGACGATTGCTAAGTAGCACTAGGTCTTCTGGATTTTTGCTCTACCCGGCGGATTCAAGAATATGAAAACTTGGGGAACATTCATAAGATCTGTAGTTGTCATGTAACAAGTTTGATTTAAATTTTCTGTTTTACAGTCGTTTTGAACAGATGCTGGCAATCTTTTGGCCGTGAGACATTCATATGCTGAACAGGGAAAGGTTTCTGGGGCTACCTGGAGCCTCACCTAGTTTCAGATTAATTTATGCCGTTCAAGAAGCACCCTTGTAGACTCAAAACCACAGCCTGAACTACATCCCTATGTTTTAAAAAGAAAATTGATTTTTTTGCTATGAAATTGAATCAGGTACGTTCAAAAAACAACATCTTATAATGAACATCACTTCCAACAACTCCTCAAAAAAGCCATTTCATCTCCAAAAATATTTTTATACCACAATCTTTTTAAAAAACCACAAGAACATGTCTTAAACATCCACAAATGAGGCTTAAATTTCCCCCAAAAAAAAGATCTTAACAAAAATTGTAAATTTGCATGGCTTCTTCTTGTCAACACGTTTTGTGCTTGTTCTAACTCTTTTATACCTTCATGCTCATCAAGTCTTCTTCTCATGCACTCAATTATAACAATAGAGGCACAACACTTTTTTTGGGTCTCAATTACATTTTTTTTTTCTTCAAATCTCTTAAATATTCTTGCTGTAGTGAGTTCATCAAGGTAAGCATAAGATCGAGAATAACGGGAATTTGTTTTTGTTATTTCTTCATTTCGGAATCTTGAACGTGAGTGTCAGTTTACTTCACAGCTGTGGGTCGAGATGATTTTTTTTTTCTGTTGAATTTGCAAGAATTTGAAGAGAATTCTTGATTCTCTTTTATGGTCAGAACATGTGAATTAAGGTCAGAGGTCTTTAATTCCATCATTGATATTTTTGGGAATGTGAATGAAATATCTCAAAGCTATAATTGACATAGAAATTTGACGGTAGGACAAGATGTAAATGTCTAAGATTTTAAAATTTGTAATTACTTGAATGATAATTCAATTTCCTCGTGACTAACTTGTTAATGGCTAACAAGAATATAATTTGCTTTGATATAAATGGTCACGATCATGCTTTCAATCATGGCTATTAACTGTTTGAGTATTAAACAGTTTTTTTTTGAGTTATCTGAAGTCATGGGATTTGCGATATTTGTAGATATTTGCGATTTTTAATTGGGTTTGTTGTATTTTCTAGGAAATGTGATTGAGAATTTTAATCGATTTTATTTTTTTCTTACTACACTTCAATTTCCTGACCCGTTCCTTAATTTAACGTTGCACAAATGCTCAATTATGGCTTGATCTCGTATATTAAGCAGTCGAAGTATCTAAACTTCCGAAAAGGAACAAATTTGAAAATGGCTGGATTCGAACTGACGATCTTCGAGTTACCATACCAAATTTGAGCCATGCGCCTTACTTATTCGACCAGTAAGGCACTTAGCTGCTGCTTTTTTTAAGGCTTAATGGCAGATAGATAGCCACTAGCAAGTCATATCAAAATAGTGCTCAAGAGCATGATGTATAGCTAAGCATGTTTTATATTGAGAATTATTGGGATTAATCATAGTGTACACGCCTTTCTTAATGTGTTCTATTGACACATAATTAGATTATGTAAGACTTCTAGTCTATACTTTTGACTAGATTCTTATAAAATGATCTAAAGTTTATTGCATAAAACTTTCATTCAACCTTACTCATAAATCCAGGTTGCTCTATTTCTATTTCATATTCTCACCTAATTAACAAGCAAAACAAAACTCAGTCTTATGATCAAAATTGATGCTACCAACATGACACAAAATCCCTGATTACAAGCTCCCCTGAACTGCCATTGTTTCATTTATCAGAAGCGACATTTCATTACAAATATACCTGCAAATATATAAATTAAATGATGTTTTGTTTTGCCTGCACATGTGCTGTGGTACATTAAATACGATTTCGTAATTTTAAAGTTCACCAATGCATGACTTCAGTTTTTGTGGTTTTCTTCTTGAACGCATGCAGTGCAAGGAAGTATGGTTTCGCAAGTGTATCTTGAATTTATGAAAAAAAAACTCAATTTTTCCTTGAAAAGATCATCCAAAATTTTTTATAAGCTCATTGTTTTTTTTTTGGAGATTTGAATACGCTGATAAATGAATGTCTGTTTCTAATTTTGGATTATTAATGACTTAAAATGTTTACAAAATCGATCTTTTTTTGTGAATTTATTAATCCGGCATTTTGCATTGCATTTTGACTTTTTGCGAAACTTTATTTTTGGTATCAAAGTGAAAGGAGATTCGATAGAAAATGCTGAAGATCACAGACTTAACATTTTATTATATTTTCCGAGACTTAAAAGAGAATCTGAAATTTCTCTGACAAAAAAATTTCTTATCGCAATCAAAATTGATACTTTTAATGGATGCAAATGTATGCAAATTACTTAAAATATTTTTTATATGTTCTTGCTATGGTTGAAGCTGTTTTTGAGAAGAAAGATTGTTAATGCGAGATAATCTTGAAGAGAAAAACATTCTTGATTGGAGATCAAGTTGTTTAAATTTTTATCAGATTTTTGCATGATTATAGGGCATTAGTCTTAGTCTCAATATTCAAAGTTGTTATTTAATGATTTTTTTGTATTTAAGTAGGGCCTTACAGGGATGTTTTTTTGAGTGGCAACTTGCAGTAATTTTATTTTTGTAGATTATTATAAGATTAACGTTAAGCTGCCATAAAGGTTCCGTAAGTTCATTTAAAGTACATTGTGCAGCTGATGCTTGATGCTGATATAATGATTGAGAGAGATCGGTCTTTGTTGGTAATCGAACCCACTTCCATACAAAATAAACTTACAGATATCTGGTCTATTGCCTAACCCCTCGCTTCATACAAGCTAAAATCTTGCACTGGCAGATTCGCCTATACATGGTTCGATACGCCAGATTCCACTTTTCTCAGACACCACATTGAGCTAGACTCCTTCAAAAATATTTTGATAATTTGTTGCTTTTATGGAAAAATTTGTTTTCTCACAATCAACACCAATGACACTATTTATTCTTAAATGTGTCACCAAATTGCCTCATTCTTCCTTAATTCCTACAAATTGCTAACGAAATATTTTCAATAATTCAAAATAATCCTCAGCATATGTAGTTGTATTATGAGAAAATATCAAAGCACTATTTTGCAGACTTATCTCATTACTCGAAATTAGCTTCGATTATTTACCAGCTTTACTTCATTCAAAGTAAGATCACTATGAAGGAAATTGTACAATCATTCCAGCCTTATAGGGCAAATAAATCATGCGAAATTATTAGTGACAAAATGTCAATGACCAAATTTCAGTGGAGAATTGTCCTACACCAGGTGCGTAGCCAGAGAGGGAGGGCAGGGGTGAAATTTGATAACAAATCCCCGTATGTTAAAAAAATTTCTTCATTTTGCCTGGGATAAGAAACCACTTATTTTCCATAAAAAAAATTTTTCAACACCCCCCCCCCCCCCCTCCCTTCTCTAAAAATCTGGCTACGCGCCTGTCCTAAACTCCATAATGAACGGCTCATAAACAGAAGATCAGAGGAGCCACCAGAAATTTTTCTAGATGTGATTTAAACTTTGTGTAGAATTATTGTTTGAAGAAAGTTTTAGGATTTGACAAAATCCTCTGAGAAATTGCAGACGTTTTTTGTGAGGGGCAATTCCTAATGACTACGCCCCTGACAGGGATTTTTTATGATAAAATTAAAATTTCTTTCAACTGAATTTCTTTACGTCAGCTTCTGCATTAAAATTCACAGCATCAGCAAAATTTACAACCTCATTAAAATAATAAGAAAATAACATTCAACAGTTCTTTGTCTTGTAAATTTCCTACGTAGCTTTGGTCACTCGACTAATAAATGAGAATTAAAATTATTTTTTTTAAGTCTTTCCAATTCAAATCCTGACAACTTTTTTTAAGAGCTTTCAATAACCAGTATTTTTTTTCTCTTGTCTTACTTTGTGTTAAAACAGATGATATCATCATGCAGTGAAGAAGAAGTGAGTACAGAAAAAAAAGTTTATTCCATTTCAGTTAATTTTTATTTATTTATTTTTTTCTAGCATTATAAAACTAGTTTCAATACATATGTGTAACCGTGAATTGTCAGTTTAATATTGCAGTAATGAGAACATTAATCGATACAAATGGAAATCTTTGCAATTAAAGTAAGATGAAGAATGAGAGGCCACAGATGATTAACTTGGAGTTCAGTAAATTGAGAGCCATCAACAAATAGGTTGATGGATATGAAAAATAGAAATTTCTTCAAAAATTATCAGAAAGATAGCTACAGATGGTAAGCAAATATTAAGAAACACACCTAAATCGATAGAGTGAGAGTAGATCACGCAACATCAATATTCGTGCTACTTATTTGTTTATTTTTGTCACATTTTTTTTGTCGGTTCAACTTAAATTTGTGTTTTAAAAAG